AGTAAAAAATACGTGTTGCTTCAATGGAAACCGATCGCGAACTGTGTTTATCGCGAAAAGCGAAAGCGGTCGGCGGGTGGACAGCTGGCTGTCTGCTAGTTGTCGCCGCGTGGACTGCTGGGTGCCTGCTAGCTGCCGACGCGTCGACTGCGAGCAGTCGTCTTAGTTTAGGGCGGTGTTGGGTGGGAGCGGTGATGGAGCAGAGTCGTGTAAGTGGGCTATGACCTTTAGGCATAACCACCGACTCACATCTGAACTGGAAACCTCATATAGATAAAATTAAGAAAAAGGTTTCACAATTTATCTTCGCGCTTAGCGTTCATATGCCCAATACGAATGCAAAATGTGCCTTGTCTCCGTACTACGCATATACATACGCATGGTTGTGCTATGGAATAATATTATATGGGCATAGTACAGACGTTCACGACCTGTTTATCCTTCAAAAAAGGTGTCTCCGTATTATCGTAAATATCAGACAGCAAGTAAGTTGTAAACCACATTTCATTAAACAGGGGATTATTCTCTAGGGAACAGCAGCCGATATTGAAACTATATTTATCTTGCAAAAAAGAGCTATAAGGGCTATCATATCAACTTAGTTCTAGAACATCCTTTTAGAGAAAATATTAAAAGAAATCGGGATTTTGACTGATGCTTCACAATTCATTTATAATTTTATACTTTTTGTTCGAACAATATTAACTATTATCCCAAACACAGTGACTTAAATTCTTTTAATTCAAGAAATAAAAAATTAAGGTAAAAAAACCTTTCTAAAAACAAGATTAATTAAATGCGTTAAAAAGAATAAAAGAAACTTTTACACTAAAACTTTCACTGTTAACTTATAACGTCATTTCAAATTTAACACATTTGACACAATTTATTATATGTTATAAAAGCTTGTCGCGAGATTTAAGTACTCGTATTTACTTTCTAAGTTTTAAAATTTTAATAGGTAGCTAGTAAATACGAGAAACAGAATGAACAGATTTCAAAATTGATTTTCAAGTTTTAGAAGTCCGCCATATTGTATTAAGAGTGACCTTATTTTTTTTCGAGTTACTCTCAGCAAACCCTTTAATTTGATACCCATATTGTAGGAATAGGAATGCATTAAAAATGATTGGTCCGCCATTTTGGGTATGCCGCGATGTTGGATTTAGAATGACGTCACACTGTTAATCATGCATTGTCATCCGAACTGAACGTGCATACCAAATTTCAGCTCAATCGGTTGAGGGCAAGTGTCTTAAAATTGAGTTGTAAGATTCCACCCGAACAAAATTACATTGCAAGTTAAAAAAAAGCTTGTAAAAATAAACTTAAGATAAGATACTTACAGGTTACAGAAGGTTCATAAATCATTTATTGGTCAAGTTGTACATTTCTACAATAAGATTCCTAATGATATTCTTGATTTGCCTCTTCATAAATTTAAAATACACATTAAGAATTGCTTACTTAAGAAAGGATATTATACTGTAAATCAACATTTGAATTATAAAACGGTCTGGTTGTAATTTTACCAGTAGATAATTTTTCAAAAATTAAATTAAAATTGGGGGCCTCAGAAAGAGTTTTGAAGAGAACCTTGCACTAACTCCCTTTCATATACTTGTTCAATTTGTTTTGAAGATTGTTTCTTGCTATTTTGGAACTTTTCGTTAGTAAATTTGTTGATTGTCTATTGTTTCATATTTGACATTATGTGATGAAAGTTGACCTCAACACATGTTTGCAAGTTTGATGTCAACTTTCAATTGGACGACAATGGTGTCGAATCTGGCGTGATTCTCTAAACTTAAAACTAAATTTAACATCAGTCTCTCCTGTTCATTCTGTATAGAGAATGACAAGGATACACTGTTGTCCAATTTAATTTTAGGTTTAGAGAATCATGACAGAATCGACACCACTTTATGAAATAAAACAGGAAGAAAAAACCAGCCCTTGCTGAGTTTTTTACTGGTTCTTTTCAGTACAAGGTCTCCCATCGTAGATTTGCGTTGGCGTAGCTTTTCGACATTCACAAGTGCAGCCTAGACTGAATAAACGATATTGAATTATATTGTTTTTTTTTTAATTTTGAATACTGTTGTCAGAAGATTGCGCAGTTTATTTTTGCATCGCGCGCGACATATCGCAAACCAACTGAAACCATAGTTTAGGTTTGTTTTTTGCTTAAGTACATACATTAAATTAACATTAGAAAATTAAGGCCGAATTTGGTTTTAAAATATAGCTACAATTCATTGAACCGTTTAATAATATTGTAATTATTTATGGGTCATGCTAATTATTATACTTATAGATGGCGCAGATTGTTTTTGAAGTGAAAACTTCTTTAGCGGCGTTGTACACTTTTTTTTGTATGGGTTTAAATGTTACACTCGCGTCTGGTTAAACACGTGGGCTGATCGCATCATGACACACAATAAAATTGGAAAGATTGTTGACTTTCCATATATTAGACGAAACATAGTACTATTTTATTTTACCGTATTATAATAATAGGTCTCTATCTAGGACGTCCACGTGGCAGCCTTATTGCGAAGAAAATGCATTTTTTACAATAGATGTCGCTAGGTGCGCTTAAATGTGATTCATGTAAGTTGATTTTTGTTACAATAGATGTCGCTAAGTGCGCTTAAACGTGATTCATGTAAGTTGATTTTTCTGAGAGATAAACTTTTTTAATGTAATATAAATTGTCATGTTTGTGTACGATAGCGCAATAAATAAATATTGCATTCTACCACATACATGATAGTACTTTTATACTGATAATTAAAGCAATTCGTGCAAAATTATTCCCTAACCATTCCAAAATATCAAAAATGCACAACTTTAATGTTCAAGTTTTCACTTCTGCCGGCACTCCCGGAGTGCAATCCGTCCTTTTTTTTGTAAATCTACACCACGAAATGGTTTTGTATTTTTTGTTATGCCAAAAATTCTCGTGGAAAAACAGGTTTATGCATTAATTACCTTTTTAAATGTATCGACTTCTAAAACTCAGTATGTGTTTCGCCTACTAATACGACACATCTCCAGAAAAAATGATTAACCATTTCCAAGGCACCATCTAGTTGTACCCATCCCAGAAGTGGTTTAAGTTTGAAAGCGTATCAAACAAACAAACTCACTTTCGCATCGTAATATTAGTTAGGATAGGGATAGGATATGATTTAAGTTAAATCCAACGCAAAAGCTTCACTCATAACGAAAATTTAAAATACTCACCGCCATCTATACTAAATACATTATATAGTACTTAAAACAAAAATCCATATCTATGTCTGATAACACAAAACCATTCCGCGTTGTAAGATATTTCGCAGAGCGATCTACAAAAATGGTTACAAGACACCATTATTTCACCCCTTATTTATAGAAGTTTGAAAAAACATATATGCATACTTTATAAACTAACTATGAACAACAATTCTGCAAAGTTTAAAGCAAATCGGGCGGTGCAATAAAAAGGTTAATACAAAAGTTACCCTTCTCTCCGCCCCCCCCCCCCCCCCCATTTCCCAGATTTCCAAGGAAAAAAGTAGCATATAACCGTCTCTAAGGTACCATATATTGTATACCAAAATGTATGTTAATCGGTTCAGTGGTTTAGGTGTGAGAGAGTAACAAACAAACAAACAATTTATATTATTTTATAATATTAGTTAGGATGTAATTTATTTTCTTTCTTTTTTTTGTTGTCTACATAAAAAAAACACATGGTTTAATGTTGGTTTTATGTTATATTTTGTCATGGCAGACCTTGTTACGTTGTTACATTACTTGTAAAAGCAAAGAACGTCATTACAATGGGTACTTGTTATGGTTGTGATACATCAAAATGTGTTTATTAATAGACAAGAGACGTATGTAGACTTGCCTTCAGGCTTTGCAGGGTTGTAAAAGTTTTTTTAAGAACCCACATAAAAGCAACTATAATATGTATCTTTTTTATGAAAATGAATGAATCAATATTAATATAAACCACAAGCAAAGCTCAAAGTTTTGATCGATGCTTTGTACCTCCTTCTACTGAGAAATGAGCGGAAGTAGCTGATCTGAACTGAGTAGAATAGTTCATTTTTTTGCATAATTTTTGCCTTCTACTAAAATGCCGGTGACAAACTTTAATACAAATACTTCTGATATAGTGAAAGAATAATCCGAGAAAAGCAAAGGGCTAAATAAATAAAATAAAATACCAAACCAAAACCCATCCATACACAAATATTCTAGGACGAATGTTGATTTTGAAACGAATCTTCAGTGCCATATTCACTTGACGCTGCAACCTATTTCCAGGGCAACCTGGCGTCTCGCCAATCGCTTGCTTCGTGACCAGAGGCGCATAACCACTCCATACAATTTGAAATTTAATTTGCGTGATAAATGGATTAAAATGTTCATCTAATGTGAAATGGTGAGGACGTGCTCCCGTCCTCTCACATTTTAATCTTTCTCTTTAGTGGGGCATAATTTAACTTGTCTTTTTCCTTTTCAATTTCACTTCTAAATTTAGGAGAAGGGCTATTGAGTTATTAAATAGATGAACAATATAATATATTATGTTGTTCTTGGTAAGTATGTAAGCGCGTAGTTTACTACGCCATTGGTATTCTACGTAGCCTTTTTAATGGATTTATTAAATTATCGATTTAGGAGATCCGGTGAGAATTTAAAAGAATTTTATATACAAAGGTTGCAGTGAATCAGATTTACATAATTTGGTTTATTTGGACTAAGTATATTTAAAATCATGATTAAGTGCAACCACGTTTTTTTGTTAAAATGATTATTTTAGCTATAAAGTTATGAATCATAGTTTAATGGTCAAACGAACTTACCTAAATGAAGTTCGATCTGTACTATCCTGTTATGGCCGAAGAGATTTATAAATAAATCGCTTGTGGGGTTGGCAAAACATTAGAGATTCGAAAATAATATACTTAGGAATACTTTTAATATAATAAAAAGATACATTTTGTAACTTTGTTTTTAGAAAGCAAACTCCGGAACTACTGAATAGTTTTTTTTTTTCAACAGTAGAAACTCACGTTAGGTATTCCGAGACACAGGTATGTATATTTTATCTTGTTTAAACAAATTTCAACGGTGCAAACCATTTTTCCTTAAATATTATTATGATAAATAGGGGTTGGGTCTATAATATTACAATGCACTGTGTTATTGGTATAAAATATATTAAAATAATATTAATAATAAAAATTGTAAATGTTTAATGCAAGTCAAACCCATTGATAAGTAAAAAAATCAAATTGTAAAAAGGCACTCCTTTTCTTCGCTCCCCAGCGTTTTAGCTTCTTGCTTATCCCAATTGATTCTTTGAAAGCATGGCATGTGATGTTCATCTTCTGAAACAAGTTGGGGTATTATATATAGTAACAAGGACTATCTAGCTATTGCTTTTTAGTTCGTCTGCGTAAAATAATTGGTTCCTTATTATCATGAATATAGAATTCGGCTTGGGTGATGAGAACCTTATGGCTCAATTACTCTTGGTCGTTAGCCCGCAATTGGGTACTCGAAAGAAATTAGGTATTCTAATTCGGGCACCCGAAGCAATATTTACACTGGAGTACGAGCTGGAAGACGGTGTCGGGTAACCTAAACGAAAACTACCCGAATACGGGAGTATTCGATTCGGTTCATTTACATTACACTTAGTCGTTTACCCGAATTCCATTGGCACTCGTATTCGGGCTTACGATCACAATCGCATCATCAGATATGAACAAAACACGGCATAACAAGTCTAATGTCATTGAGTTTAAGCTTCTGCCTCGTTTATATTTTGTAGCAATTTTCCTGAAATGCTTATTAATAATAATAACTTTATTGCTTAAAAAAACTGTGTACAATTTTGCAGTTGGAATTGCAATAATTATTTATCCTAGGTATGCATATATCATATTTAAATCTTTTACGCGTATTCGGACGTAATGTGGTATTGTATTATTTTAATTTATAATATAGTTCAAAGAGATACGGTTGTGAGGCTCCGACGCTGACCCTTAAAGAGGGAATAAGTTGTTAGTCGCCTAAAGAAAGATAAAGATTCTACGGAAGATCCTGGGGCCGGCTCAGAGAGAGGATGGCAGCTGGAGAGTGCGGATGAACATCGAGCTGGAAAATCTAATGTCCGAGCCCAACATCATAGCAGAAATTAAAGCAGCTAGACTTCGCTGGCTCGGACACGTAGAGACAATGGGAGAGAATCGAGCCGTTAAAACAGCGTATTTCGGGCGACCGATAGGACGACGACCCGTTGGACGTCCTAGATACCGCTGTAGCGACGAGGTGCAGAGGGACTTGCAGTCTTTGGGTGCTGACTGCTGGCGGGACCTATCCCGGGATCGCAGAGCATGGCGTCATCTTGTGTCGGAGGCCAAGATCCACTTTGGATCGTTGTGCCGCAGCAGTAAGTAAGTAAGTAATATAGTTCAAAGAGTTTTGTATTTTTGATAATAAGCATTAAACAGTCAGACTTTTGTATATAAAAGAATCCGTTACCTTGCTAAAGGGGATCAATAGATTACTAAGCATCTTAAAAGAAGATGGTTTATTTCTATGTCAAATCTTTGCCTATTGAATATGCCCCTATAGGTCAGCATATTTTGAGAGAATATACAAAAAAGTTCAAAGATCTATTAATCACTTTTTTTATGAGTATCGCCGGGTTGCGTTACTACTGCTGGCCTGGGAGCCACGCACAACTCAAGTCTCAAACTCTTCAGCTCTGTTACAGATAGCATTTCACTCGTTGGTGGAGCAACGCGTAGCTTGCCGCCAATCAGACGACCCAACTTTAATACAGCCTAAAACACAAAATGTTTTATTATCATCATCATCGTCACTAGCTTATTAATGCCCCCTCTGTTGAGGTACAGGCCTTCCCTATGGATGGGATAAAGTGATTGGGCCATGTCCCACCACGCGGGCCTAGTGTGGTTTAGTGGGGGCTAACGACTGCAGATGCAGCCGGGAACAATGGCTTAACGTACTTTCCGAAACACAAAAGAGCTGGAGATGGTGAATTTTTGGATACCCATTCAATAGCTGATCACTACGAAAATTGCTTAATTTCAACAATTGCAGTCGAACGCGCTAATCCCTGGCGCCATCGAGCTCCTCAATAAGTTTAATATACCTGAGTTTTATTAAACGTAGCCACTTAATATACATAATATAATATACTGGAATGAAACATGCGTTTGTTGCTTTTGTTTCAAAGCAGTACCTAGAAGCACAAACACTGAACGGGTTGAGTTCAAACCTCGCCAAGTCAATCTTTCATCTGATTAGATCAAATCAAAGGAGAGATGAGTTCGATTTCGCAGTGCATATCTTGATCTCCTCTTAGTTTCGAAATGCTGTGCCGTTATGCTATGCCGTTGGTCTCGGTTGCATCTGCAATCGTTAGCACACACCAATCCGCACTGGGCCCTTTTAGTAGGTCATGATTCATTCTCTCAATGCCTTCCATAGGGAAGGTATGTGCCCCAGCAGCGAGTACATTTATTTAATAGACTGATAATAACTAAAAACGTTTCCTACAATCATATCCGTGAAGTTGTAATATCCCTAAGTTTCCTCTACATTGAAACTGAAGTTACCGTCGCTTTACTACAATTAGTAATACACTATATTATAAATTCTTTAGTAACGGCGAACACATAAAGATTTGAGAACAAAGCTAGCATTAACATCAAAAGTTTCATAATAAGTACCCATGTTCTTTCCAAAAAATCGCTTATTTTCAATTTCACTACCTATGCGAGTAGAAAATCCGAAAAACTGTACGAAGAGTAAATATTCAAGTGAGCAGTACTAGAAAATTGCTAATCACAATAAATTATAGTTTCGTGACGTTCAAACTTACAGATCTCGTAGGAAATGGCAAAGCTGGACGAACATATACTGGTGGACAAGCTAAAATTACACTCAATGGAACATACATCTTTAAAACATTAAAAGGCGACTTCGATAGCACTGAAAAGAAAAGCATCAATATATACTGACTGATTAAGACAATGCAGCTAGGAGTAATCCTAAAGAAAATATATACACCTGGATAAATTCTGCTAGAATATCTGTTCGAGCTAGAAAACACTGGTCTAATTGTTGGATAAAAGTCTTCCGTCATTTCCCATATTTTTAAAATCTGCCCATTACTCGGTCCTTCCACGTAGAGTAATACTACATCGCCAACGTCTAGAGCAAACCCTGTTAATACATTATCTTCCATATCACACTGCAAAAATCCTTCATTGATTTCTGTAATACTTTTTAGTATCGTCATAATGATTTCGGTATCTTTGACTAGACAATATAATCTTGCAAAACTTTCTGTCAACTTTTTTGCTTTACAACCAACAAGTCCCATAGAGACTTCCAAAGACATTTGTGTTTCTAATATAACGTGTGCTGGTACTATTGTATTAGGATATATAGGCTGCTTTATGTGATTTATGTCATTGCTACAAATAGGTTCTCTTTCTAATTCCACTAAAGAAGTTCTAGGCGGAAATAGAGAATACTCTCCTCTTATAAAATTACTCATGCCTTTTGCCATGTCGTGTGTGTCAATTTTCGTTACAGCTATAAGAACATCTAAATCTTCATTTTCAAACTTGCTTGAAGAAACTCCAAAACTTTGATCACCCTTTTTGTATCCAAAAAATCGAGCCATGTCTTTTTGAAAATTAGTAGATCTTATGCCACGTAACTTTAAAAAAATATATTGTTTTAAACTTTCATGGTCACTAACATTATAGTAATATAAGTTATTTACGGGATTGTTACCATGTACCTTGTTTTTAGCGAGTTTCCGATATTTCGGCACTGTTGCAAGCGCCATGATCACGGAGTAACTGAAGTAATTGCGGGTAGGCTGTTATTGGCAGACATATCGGTCTACCCTCCGACGAAGTCTTTTATTGCGACCCGTACCACTGTTCACATTCTCACTATTCACTCGAAACTGTTCTCGACACACAACACTTACAGTATCGGATCGCGACACGACACTTTTTTGATTATTTCCGGTTTTACACATACGAACCACAGGATTCCAGACACTCGACAATTTAAACCCGTCCTCACGATTGAAATTTTTATGTTTTGTTATTTCAATCGCTTCCCTGACCAATCTTGGTATGTAGTGGCGTTCTGTCGAGATAATCTGTGGGTTATGAAACTCAATCCAGTGGTTAGAACCAGAATTAATCAAATGTTCCGCGATGGCTGATTTCTGCGTATCGTTGTTCTTGATTGCTTTTATGTGTTCCCTCATTCGGCATGATACTGTTCGCTTTGTTTGGCCAATGTACGAACTGCCACAGCTGCAATCGATCTTATAGACACCAGGTTTCTCCAAGGGGAAGTTGTCTTTAGGAGACCGTAGGTATTGTGAAACCTTTCGCACAGGAGTGAAGACAGTGTTTAGTGAGTACTTATTCAGTATGTTTGAGATCTTGTCAGTCACTCCTTTGACGTATGGTAAATAAACAGGTTGTCTGTCTACTCTGTGTCTCTGGTGTCTTAGTTTGTGTCTTGATGGAAAATGTCCCTGGTATCCATTACTCTGTAAGACTCGTCGTACATGCTCCAACTCTTCTTGAAGATGTTCCTCATCACACAGGTCATATGCACGGTTCGTCAGTGAAGTCATTACAGAGTTAAGATGTTTAGGGTGGTGATGCGAGGAGGCGTTGAGATAGCGGTCAGTGTGTGTTGATTTGCGGTAAATGGAATGACCAAGCGAACCGTCATTCCTCACCCGAATCTTCACGTCCAGAAAGGCCAGACTTCTGTCTTCTTCGATCTCATAGGTAAAGTTGATTTTAGAATGGTTACCATTTAAATTTGCCAAGTGAGACTCGACATCATGTTTGTTACCTCTTAATATACAGAATACGTCATCGACATACCTCTTCCATAGTTTTATTTCTGTGGGTGCGGTGATAAAGGATTTTTCTTCAAAATGCTCCATCCATATATTGGCAACCACTGGAGCCACGGGACTGCCCATTGCGACCCCATCTATTTGGAGGTAGTACTGACCCTGATATATGAAGAAATTCGTCGACAAACAATGATGCAACAGCTTGGCATATTCCTTCGGGATGTCATTTTCTTGCAACTTCACCTTCACCACTTCCAGACAATCCAACACAGGTACATTTGTGAACAGCGATTCTACGTCAAAACTGACCATCAACTGATTTTCATCTACCTTGTTTTGGTGCAAGATTTCTATGAAATGGCGGGAATCCTTCACAAACGACGACGTTCGTCCCACTATCGGCTGCAATACTTTTGCCACGTGCTTGGCCAGTTCATATGTAGGTGAGTCTATCTGACTCACGATCGGACGTAGGGGCACATTTGGCTTATGGATTTTCGGCAGACCATATAGTTTTGGAGGCTGGATGTTCCTAGGACGTAATAAATATTTGACAATGTCATCGTCTAAAGCGTGGGCGCATTCTTTTATGAGTGAGCGAGTGTTACGATCTGTCCTTGCCGTTGGGTTGTAATTCACCTTCTTGTATATGTGTTCGTCAGTGAGTAGACTCTGGATTTTGTTTTCATACTCACTGGTATTCATTATGACTGTCGCATTCCCTTTATCAGCTTTTAGTACTAGTATATTCTTGTTCTTATGAAGATCTCTCAAGGCCACTGATTCGGAAGAAGTAATGTTCGGTCTTGGTGGCCTCGCATGACGTAACACCACAGCGACATCTTGCCTGAGCGTATCCGCATCTACTGCTGGTATTTTATTACGTATGACACACTCTTCAACTGACCCAATCACTTCCTCATAGGGAATACGTCTAGGTGTAACGGCGAAATTCATCCCTCTTTCAAGAACAGACTGTGCAGCGTCGGACAACTCAATACTTGACATATTGATTACCGTTCGAGTTCGAGGGAATGCGACAGTCATAATGAATACCAGTGAGTATGAAAACAAAATCCAGAGTCTACTCACTGACGAACACATATACAAGAAGGTGAATTACAACCCAACGGCAAGGACAGATCGTAACACTCGCTCACTCATAAAAGAATGCGCCCACACTTTAGACGATGACATTGTCAAATATTTATTACGTCCTAGGAACATCCAGCCTCCAAAACTATATGGTCTGCCGAAAATCCATAAGCCAAATGTGCCCCTACGTCCGATCGTGAGTCAGATAGACTCACCTACATATGAACTGGCCAAGCACGTGGCAAAAGTATTGCAGCCGATAGTGGGACGAACGTCGTCGTTTGTGAAGGATTCCCGCCATTTCATAGAAATCTTGCACCAAAACAAGGTAGATGAAAATCAGTTGATGGTCAGTTTTGACGTAGAATCGCTGTTCACAAATGTACCTGTGTTGGATTGTCTGGAAGTGGTGAAGGTGAAGTTGCAAGAAAATGACATCCCGAAGGAATATGCCAAGCTGTTGCATCATTGTTTGTCGACGAATTTCTTCATATATCAGGGTCAGTACTACCTCCAAATAGATGGGGTCGCAATGGGCAGTCCCGTGGCTCCAGTGGTTGCCAATATATGGATGGAGCATTTTGAAGAAAAATCCTTTATCACCGCACCCACAGAAATAAAACTATGGAAGAAGTATGTCGATGACGTATTCTGTATATTAAGAGGTAACAAACATGATGTCGAGTCTCACTTGGCAAATTTAAATGGTAACCATTCTAAAATCAACTTTACCTATGAGATCGAAGAAGACAGAAGTCTGGCCTTTCTGGACGTGAAGATTCGGGTGAGGAATGACGGTTCGCTTGGTCATTCCATTTACCGCAAATCAACACACACTGACCGCTATCTCAACGCCTCCTCGCATCACCACCCTAAACATCTTAACTCTGTAATGACTTCACTGACGAACCGTGCATATGACCTGTGTGATGAGGAACATCTTCAAGAAGAGTTGGAGCATGTACGACGAGTCTTACAGAGTAATGGATACCAGGGACATTTTCCATCAAGACACAAACTAAGACACCAGAGACACAGAGTAGACAGACAACCTGTTTATTTACCATACGTCAAAGGAGTGACTGACAAGATCTCAAACATACTGAATAAGTACTCACTAAACACTGTCTTCACTCCTGTGCGAAAGGTTTCACAATACCTACGGTCTCCTAAAGACAACTTCCCCTTGGAGAAACCTGGTGTCTATAAGATCGATTGCAGCTGTGGCAGTTCGTACATTGGCCAAACAAAGCGAACAGTATCATGCCGAATGAGGGAACACATAAAAGCAATCAAGAACAACGATACGCAGAAATCAGCCATCGCGGAACATTTGATTAATTCTGGTTCTAACCACTGGATTGAGTTTCATAACCCACAGATTATCTCGACAGAACGCCACTACATACCAAGATTGGTCAGGGAAGCGATTGAAATAACAAAACATAAAAATTTCAATCGTGAGGACGGGTTTAAATTGTCGAGTGTCTGGAATCCTGTGGTTCGTATGTGTAAAACCGGAAATAATCAAAAAAGTGTCGTGTCGCGATCCGATACTGTAAGTGTTGTGTGTCGAGAACAGTTTCGAGTGAATAGTGAGAATGTGAACAGTGGTACGGGTCGCAATAAAAGACTTCGTCGGAGGGTAGACCGATATGTCTGCCAATAACAGCCTACCCGCAATTACTTCAGTTACTCCGTGATCATGGCGCTTGCAACAGTGCCGAAATATCGGAAACTCGCTAAAAACAAGGTACATGGTAACAATCCCGTAAATAACTTATATTACTTTAAAAAAATATTTATAACTAAGTAATTAAGAGCCGTTCGTTATGATATATTAAAAAATCTACTTGTATAAGTTTATTTAATATACACATTTCGACATTACCTGTACTTCAAACGGATTGTCTAATAATGTAGCCGTTACTTTAGATATTGCATCCGGATCAAAATGAAGTGCATGATGATCATTAAATTTTATATCTGATTTATGTATATTTATGTTTTGAGGTTGCGAATTATGCGTTTCTTTATTTATAACCCACCTAGTGTATACCTGTGATATTCTGAAATAATGAATAAACTGTGAATTGAATTTGAAATATGTATTTATTGTTTTAGGTGCAATTTTCAATTATATGTGCGAAGTTAAATAAATATAACCATGTTACATCACTACATGCACGTACTAAAAGCAATAGTGCGCAAACCTGAGTTTTCTTAGATATTCTGCTGGTAAATTTGTTAACGTATCGACATTCACAAATATAATTGGGCGATCGTCTTGAGCTGGCAAATTGGTACTGCTAATGATTGTTATAAATTCACCAAGATCATTTGGTCTATCGCCGATATTCTCAAATGGAACAATTCTTCCAACGCCTTGCAAAAAAAATACAAGGAAACATAATTATCTTGCAAGTAGAATACACACTCTGTGTAGGTACAAATATTGCTATTATTATCAACAACGGAAAAGGCAACGTTAATATGGCTTTATACTAGTTTATTTATTGAACACATAACGGTCATGCACAATTCTTAAAAGGACCCCCTTTTAAGAATCCACTTACTACGATTTAAATACACCTCTTTTATTATATCTGCAGTCAACGAACAATTAAACAGCACATATCGTTAGTTTCATAAAAAAAGAATAGGCTAGGCGAAAAAAAACTGTAAGATTCTTTCGTCACAACCATCAGTTGGAGTTTGATTGGTGTGTAGTAGTGTACATATGTTTATTTTTAATTTCGTTCCAACCGAGTGTTATATGACATTCACGTATGTATTTTTTTTTATTCAAAATCTACAACACTACCAACCTGCTAGAATAGAATCACCGAGTAATTTTATTTCAAACTTTACTTTAGGAACTTCAACCCTTTTTTTCTCTTTTTCCTTTTCTTTATCTTTTCCGATCTTCGTCTCTCTTCTTTCTTTTATTTTAAATTCCTCAGGTTCTAATTCTAGTTCGGGTTCGGTTTCTTTTTCGAATTTATTCAAAATGGCTTCTTTGACGTAATACATTATTGTATCCTGGTGCCGAACATCTTAATAGCAATTGTGATTAATAATATAGCTACATAAACAATTTACTTTATAAACAAAACAAAAAAATATTAATAAGTTTCAGTACCTGTGACTGGCTTAGGAACATCAAACACACCGTCTATAGTTGATGCTGGAATATATTTTTCTACTAAGCTCCATATTAATTCCACTAAATATTCTATCAAAGTTTGTTCTCTTTCTACCACAGGAGCAAAATATCTCTGATCACCGAACTTCATTGATGGAAGATAAACTTCAACATTCTTATCGTTTTTTGCGCTAGGAGAAATAATCGGTTTTTATTTAGCTCTCTTTTCTTAAGTAAGTACTTAAATAAGGTATTCTTACGTACATATTTGGAAATCCTTATGCTTATGAAAAGAAATAGGATATCTAAACCCATTAGATATCCTGTTTTATCCTATTTTAGGCATTTAGTTTTTCAGAACAACTAAATAAACAAGTGAAAAACTTTGAAGCACCCATAAAGACAAGCTTGAAAAACTAGGTTTTGGCCCTTTTCGCAACAAGTATTTTTTTTAATCAACATTTGATGTAGCGTTAACTCCACCGTTCGTTCCCCTTCTTAATGGAATTAAAAAATAATGTCAGTAATTGGAGTGGAATGGACGATCACGATATAGCAACAATCACAGTGATGGTGATAATATTCATTTGTATTGAAAACATCTGGATAATAACCCAGACAGTTGAAGATTGCGTGATAATTATCTAGCTACTTTAGCATTGCTAGCAGGGGCATATTTACCCCAGGGCCTAAGGGCCATGGCCAGGAGCGGCAGGCTGTGAGGAGTGGCAGTGGGAGAAAGAGCTTTGAGGGGCGGCATAAGCTATATACACCGCGAATTTTGAGTTATCTGAGAAACTTAAAAATGGTGTAAATAAAAGTAGTGGGGAACAGTGATAAACAATAGAAAAATATTGATTTATATCGTTTACAAAATATCTTAAAACGGCGCAATTTGTATATGACATACCGATTATGGATTTATTATCCGTTTAAAGTACGAAGATCTTAAAAGTAGATTTATTTGAATCAGTTTATGGCAATAAAAATTGATAAGGGTTCATCGATTCGATCGATCGACATCGATCCAAAATCGCGAAATTGCACAATGGATGATGGTTAACGTGGTCATTTTTGTTTTTTTTTTTTTGAGGTAATATAACCTCAGTCGTTTTCTGATAATTAACCAGTAGTTTTTCAGGTAACTCAAAATTCGCGGTGTATAAAGATATTACTTACTGACCTATATGTTGATGAAATTTACTAGGGATTTACTATGTGAGAGGGTACAAATCGTAACTGCCCCGGGGTGTCACCTAATTTCAATATATGCGCCCCTGATCTCTAGCTCGTATGTACTTACAAGTTTAGTTAATTCTATGCAACATACTTAGTGCTTAAGTTTGCAATTCCAAACAATGGTGTGATGGTAGCTATGAAACTTTGTAACTCCATTACCCGGACTGGGAAAATATGACGGATGGAAAAAGTGAGAAACCTCCTTTCCAAAAACTGCCAGGTTCTTACCCAACCATAATGAGCTCCACACCAGATCTGTGAATGATTATAATTTATATGTTTAAAACATTTTTTAGTCAATGGTAAGACAATTGCTTATTGCTACACAGTAAATTCTACTAGTTCTACTACTACATTTGGATTACAACGTAAATCAGAAACTATCCATAAACTCCTCATGCAATTTCGATTGTTAAACTCGCATTGCTACACGCAGAGTAGAGTAATATTTCTTCACCTATCTTCTATCATTGACTACTGTTTATAGCCCCTCGCGCACTAGATGACCACGAGAAAATAAGACGTAGTGTGCGAGGTGCCACAGAGTCCATTCATAGTGATGGCTTCTGAGAAACGACGATTTTATGGGGTCGGCTCTCAGTACCGGGTTTTCAGAATACCGGTTTTTTTTCAAATGTTTTTATGATAAATACCTATCATCATTTGTAGTAATTCATGGAGGTTTATATGTATTTCTAGATGAAGGTCCTTTCAACATAGTATTCTATCCGTCACCCTAGTATCCCAGAATTCTGTTATGGAAAGGCTTATGGGTCTTACAGCGCTTACTTTGTGGCTAGTACGTACATTTGGTGTGAATGTGAAAACTATTTATTTATTTATGGTTAACGCCATGTCTTTCGCATCCTGCGTCGCACATTTCAAAGAATTCCTTGCGCATAACTTGCGCATGATGTGAACGGCATTTGAGAATTCTATGAAACACGATGAAGGCGCGTAACGCTTTTTGTGGATCGGCCATAATTCGACACTCCCATCCAGCATCCAAGTAAAATGTATTTAAGACAGGGTTGGATTTAGAGGTGTGGAGGCTTTGGACAACGAAGCCTCAATTTTAAAATCTGCAAACGTGGCCCGCTTACGATTGGATTCGAAATTCAACCCCTACCTTTGCAACGTGAGGCCATATAAGTATGTCTAAATCATAAACTTGACCAGGATACAATTGATATTGTATCCTCATTCCCTGCACACAAGGACCTAGATCGATCCATCCTTCGTTGCAGTCATGCCATACATCTATACCAAGCAGTTCTACTGCGAAGGTTAAAGAAAATGTACTTTTACAGAAACGAGAGGCATCGACTGCGGCAGCCTTTACAGATGCCACCTTGCTCATAATTATTACTTTTCTTGTCTCATGGGTCCTTCAACTACAGCAATTAGATCTACTGACATAAACATAAACGAAGGTGATTACTTTCTCTATGGTTAGACACATAGAGAAAGGAAGTTTACATAGAAAGTTAATGTTAATATGTACACTATGGCAGTGGCGAAGCCTCCTTAGAACACGATTCCCACCGGCTTCCCTTGGCAGATTCTGGTAGTTTTCCACAGCACTAGAGCGCATTATGCGGCATAATGCTTAACGTTGAATGTTTCAACTGCAGCATCGCTTCGCACAATCGAGCACTCTCAGAAGTAATGTTTTCGTGTGAAACCAACTCAGTGACAGAAAATTAAGAAGTGTTTTTTTCTTTAAGTTGGCATTGATCGAAATGTTTTATTTATATTCTATCCTTAGTAATATTATTTATTGTTGAAAATTTTTAAAGCTTTCGTTTCATTGTAAATATTATGTATACCACTTTATTTACACATTAATGAGGTTATTGCTAACTCTATGAATATTTTTTTTTTGACACTGAATTTAGCGCACTCTGCTGGTGCATTTTAAAACTAATTCACGTTCCAATTAAGCATCAGCATAATTCGGCATTGTGCGCCACTGAGTCGCATTATGCTCTGTAATTGGAAAACAACCTATGACGCTTAGCTTATTCACGTGTATTTTTTTGGTCCGGCTTTACCTTTCTATTTTTTCATCCCGCGCCACTGCACTATGGTGTTCACTACACTTGACTGTACACCTGAGCCACAGTCTAAGGTGTACAAAATAAACGTTATCAGTAGGATTATTAAACCAAAGAATAAAGGCTAGAATAGAACAGAAATAAACTAATCCGTCGTGTTGTTTTGGGACGCGATTTGGTACGATTAGAGCTGTACTTGTGTGCCGCGATCGCAATGTGTCGACACCGTTCTCACTCTAACCATACTAAATGTATGAAACAGATAGCTCTCTAATGCGTCATAACCAAGATAACACAACAAGACAGATAATTGTAGTTCTGAGGTTGGTCTTGCAACCCATTTTAGACCAGGGTCGATAATTTTTGAGACCAATAAAAATTATAGTAGGATGAAACCCATTAGAAAAGGTAGAGAATATAACAAAAATGAAAGGAAAAATAAATTACGGGTGATCTGAGGTCGGGAAGGGGGAGGGCGTGAGTTTTTAAGGGTAAAAAATGGTTAATCTCGATTTCCGGTAAAACTGCAAGTCCTATGAAAAAAAGTTAAATGGCAAAGTTGTAGGTAATAAAAAGATCTACAACTTTTGTATCGACACTTTTTTCACATAACCTCAAAATTTATGTGAAAAATGCGAATAACCGAGTTTTTGGTTTTTGATTTTTATTTTTTGCAAAAAAAATTTTTTTTTCACGAAATTTGGTGAAAACTTACCTTTGTATGTCCCAAACATACAGTAATTTTTTTGATTTAAAATATTCATTTTTTCACCTTATTTTGATTTAATATCGAAAAAGCACCCTTATTTTCAATCGAAAATTCTCACGTCAAAATATCTGCTTTTTTAAAAAAGTTGGGGTGTTTTTTGTTTGTTGAAATCTCTACTTTCTGATGGTATAAAAAAAATATACATTACTATGGTAAATGTTCTCAGAAACTGCAAATTAATAATGAAAAAAACTCCAATCCGAAAAATTTATTTGAATGATTATGTATAATTTTGAACTATTTATTCAAATTTACACTTTAATTACTCGAAAAACGTAAGATTTCATGTTATATTGATAAACAGAAAAATTACAAATCCATAAAACATGCAAAAATAGTTGTTGTAAGTAGGTATTAAAAATAGGATTTTCGGATTCGAGTTTTTTTCATTATTAATTTGCATTTTCTGAGAACATTTATCATAGTAGTGTATATTTTTTTTATACCATCAGAAAGTAGAGATTGCAACAAACAAAAAATACTCCCAACTTTTTTAAAAAAGCAGATATTTTGACGTGAGAATTTTCGATTGAAAATTAGGGTGCTTTTTGGATATTAAGTCAAAATAAGGTGAAAAAATGAATATTTTAAATCAAAAAAATTACTGTATGTTTGGGACATACAAAGGTAAGTTTTCACTAAATTTCGTGAAAAAATATTTTTTTTTGCAAAAAATAAAAATCAAAAACCAAAAACTCGGTTATTCGCATTTTTCACATAAATTTTGAGGATATGTGAAAAAAGTGTCGATACAAAAGTTGTAGATCTTTTTATTACCTACAACTTTGCTATTTAACTTTTTTCATAGGATTTGCAGTTTTACCGGAAATCGAGATTAACCATTTTTTACCCTTAAAAAACTCACCCCCTCCCCCTTCCCGACCTCAGATCGCCCGTAATTTATTTTTCCTTTCATTTTTGTTATATTCTCTAACTTTTCTAATGGGTTTCAAGCTACTATAATTTTTTTTCACTTTTCACCATTTTTAAAATTATCGACCCTGGTCTATTTATTCTACCTCAGATCAAATAAAAAGTAAAGACGGAGCGTTGCGAACAGCAAGCAATGTGGCACCGGCTTTGTATGCATGTGGTGCGTGGGTCGGTGTTGCCATTAACATTCAAATTGCCCCAATATTACAAAAACAATTATATATAAAAAATCATTATACGACGTTTATACCGAAAGCATGTATGTATACATTCCATACTTGTTTAAGAAATAAACAGTGCAAAATTAACTACGAAAATAAATAGGAAATGTGCTGCAAATATAAAATTACTGAGCGATTAATTTTTTAACACTATTTTATTTATTTCGAAGAGAAAACTATTGTCTTATTTTTGTAATTATAGTAAAAACCCTTGCCAATATTCATTCTAAACACAGATGCCAACAATTGGCACTTTATTTTTAACACTGTCAAATACTCTATTGTGTGATGTTAATATCCTTTGCCTTATTAGATATTTAAAAATAGTATTGTCAAAACTTAACATTGACACATTTACAGTTTTTTTTGGCGGAATTTCATCGAGTGGGGTTGGCGTCTTATTTTAATTATTCTTAAATTCGTTCATAGTGGATATTGTGAAATAAAATTGGTGTGGTTTTGTGTAACAACTGTCTGCGTAACTGAAGAATTAGCGGAATCATTAAAATATACGCTATTCCGGTCAAGTGGACGTGAGAATTTTATTGTAGTATTGACTACCTCACAGAAGCTTATCGAAAAAGCCAACTCGATACATTTCGTGCCAAACACTCCAAGAAACATAAGAATGCGTCACACCGACATTCTAATGTAAAAATAAAAAGAAGATAAATTTAATTAAAGACTAGGCTGTATGGGCATTGTTCCCTTTGCCTTCCCTAAAACGGGAGAACTTCAACAAAAAAAAACACATTTACAATAAAATGCTCTTTGTTGACATATTTTGGTTTAGGTACTTTTGGGCACCTACTTTCTGAAGAAATTCTCATTATTTGAACAATTTTTGTGTTGCTCTCGGTCGTAATGGCTCTAACAAGAAGAATAATCAAAAACTATTGGCTCAAAAATGTTCTGTATGTCGATAAATCAAATAGTTTTATCAGAAATTGACAATAAGCATTAATTTAAAGCAAATCGCAATTAACAATTTCAGTGACTCTCCAAAACTAAGTAAGTCATTAACTGTAAATGCACTGAAAAACGAAAATACTACTGTAAAGGATGAGGAAATCAAAAAATTCTCAATTCAAAATGAAGACTGGTGGAGTTTAAATGGTCCTTCTAAAGCACTACATTCAATGAATGAAGTGAGGTAAACAAAGTTATCTATAACGACTATTAAAATACTTATTCATTATCCTGTTCTCGACTAGACTAACTAAGACAGGTGAAGACATAAGTTTATCTAGAAATGTTCAAGACAAACTTATGACTATTTTAAACAGCATTAAACACATGTCTTTAGTTGGAATTGTTATAAAAGTTTTGATTTAATGTAACTAATTTCAAACCGTTAAATTACTTTAAAAAGCATTTTCCAATGTATTATCTTCATTTAATTTTTTGAAAAAATTCAACCTTAGATATGAAACAGAATCATTATTTTATCATGCTATTTTTTTATATATATATATATTTCAGAATACCTCTTGTTCGAGATGGCCTTGTCCAATTTCCAGCTGAGAAAAGAAATCCAAAACCTCTTAAAGATAAAAAAATATTGGATGTTGGGTGTGGAGGTGGCATATTGTCAGAGGTAACTAAAAATAATAAAAAAATGCTAATAAAATCAATTAAAACAAAAAAATTTAATCCTCTCAAACAATTACAGTATTCATAATTATATAAGAGAACTGTCTTATTTTTAAAACTAAAAGGTTAAATACTTGATTAAGGTAGTGGCACCAATGACCAACCTGAGGCAGTAATTGTAACTTTTTTATGTGATCAATGAAAATAAGAGTAGATTACTGGCCAGTGACAGGTCGCTGAGTGTGATACCATGTATTACCATATTTAGTGATCAGTTGCCAACGTCGATCACTGTTTCTTATTGGTTATTGGTGCCACAACTTTATTGTTGACAACATTTACCTCTTCTTTTTCTACAGGCACTAGCAAAGATTGGTGCCGAAGTTACTGGTATAGATGCAAGCAAAAACCTGATTGAAATAGCTCAAAAGCATAGTGAAGAGAATAAGAGACTGATAAACAAGCCCAAATATCTGTGTAGTTCAGTTGAAGTAAGCATTGTAACATTATAAGATAATAATAATTTTATTATTATTTGAACTAAACTTTTTTTCAAACTCTGGTGTAAAATTCAGTCGACAGTGTTTGGATCAGACTTTTATTCCACTTTATAGACCAAATAAGTTTAATTATTAGCTTGTAACTTCACAAATAACTTTGTTTTTGTTTAGTAAATAGAAAATTTTGTGGTGTTTATAGTTATGTGTGAAGTTGGTATTTTTAAAAATCAATAAATATCTGACATTTATATTTAACTTTTGTGTAGTTATTGCTCCTAGCTTTTTAAAAAAGCTATTTCTAAAAAGTATTTGTATTTAAAATTCCTGTTAATTAGTACATACTTCTTTTAAATGCACCTACTGATAGACAAAGTAACAAACAAAACTTTTTTCTTTTAAAAACAAGAAATATTGCTTTGCAATAATTCTCTAGACGCTAAATCCAACTATCCTGCAAAAGCCCCGGGAATGGGGCATATAATTTTTTTTCTTTATTATTTCAGGAGCACCTCAACGATCACAAGGATCACTATGATGGAGTTGTGGCTTCAGAAGTAATTGAACATGTCGATAATAAAGAACTTTTTGTCAAGTCCTGTGTCAGTGTCCTAAAGCCTGGAGGAAGGATATTCTTCACAACGCCAAACCGAACGCGAGCTGCGCAAATACTTGGAATATGTGTATCAGAATACATACTGAATATAATACCTAAAGGAACTCATAATTACGATATGTTTATCACACCTAATGAGCTGTCATTTCTACTAGAGAGAAGTAAGTCAAACTCTTAACTGTTGCCTTATGTGAATCATAATCATGCATTGAATAAGAACACTAATCAACAGTATATTATTAAACCATTTTTATATGTTCGATACAGCCAAAAATTGCGCTAATTGGCTAGTAATTAGAATAAGCTTAGACTTGTTATGCCGTGTTTTGTTCATATCACTCAAATGCCATTTGTCATTCAACAAACAGAGACAAAACCTGGATTAACTAATCCAAGCTTATTCTGCATTTATTAAAAAGGGGGATTATGTTTAAAAGAATTAAAACTTTTTGTAGATACATCAGCTGGCATATTTTCTGTAGACAAATATTTAACATCACAATGTTATTGGAAATAACTTCTCTACAATAATATTAATGGACATCAATATGTTTTGTCGTACTATGTAAAATCGGATTTTGTGACAATTTTAGAGCACTTTTGATTGTCGTTATATATGTTAATAGTATACATTTGTCCAGTGATCTCATTTTGCAAATTTATTAGATACATAGCTTCCCTACAACATTCAGTGATTGCCATATACTCAGCCTCTGTACTAGAAAGTGCTATAGTTCTTTGTTTCTTAGAACCCCAGGATATGGCTGAACCTGATAGCACAAAACAAAAACCTTAATATGATTTTCTATCTGTGTTATTGTTAGCCCAATCTGCATCTACATATCCCTTAATATGGGGATTTCCAGGTATATTACCCTAGCGTGACATAACGTTAATATGTCCATATATCCTAAGGTAATATAGTATTTTGTTGCTCATTTGTTGCTATTTTGTGCCGCAAGAATAGATTTTGTTGCTCAAATATTTCTCCGAAAAACGCCTGTTACGAAACCACAGCGATATCTCGGAGGCAAAACGAGTTAGAGATATCAGATGAACAGCATATTTTGTTGCTGTAAGATAAGCTGGTTAGATATGAAAAAATATCAGCCCTTCATGGGGGGCTAACTACCCTAATTCTTAGATATCTCAGATTTTTCGTATCTCGTGAACTAAAGCAGCTAGCGGCACGATACAAACGGTGTTGCAATGGCGTGTAAATAGCCATCCACTGGATGCGGGTTTGACAATATATATATATGAGGCGGGCGAGAGGTCAATAATGAACAACTCACAAGAAAGCTTTTAACTATGGGAGACCATCTGTCATTCGAAGAAGCGGCTCGAGTGGCAATAGCTTTTGAAAGTGCCTAAAATGAGGTGAGAAAAATGCAACCTGATGTGGCAAAATATTCAGTGCAAATAGTTGAAAAGGATCAAGTGCAAAAACTCATAAGCTTTCAAAAAAATAGCCAAATACCACGAGAAAATGATCTGAGCACATACAACAAAGGCAGAGGGTCTCAAGGTAATGGTGAATGTTCCAGATGTGGAGGAAACCATCCATCAGACAAATGTTTCAAAAAGTCATGGATATGTTTTTATTGCAAAAAACAGGGGCATGTGGCAAATAAATGTTATTTCCGTTCTGTTGGAGAGAAGAATGTGGTGAAACAGCTAACGACCATGAGTTGCAGGAGCACGGATACCAGAGCAAGAGGTTATTTTAGGGAGTATTATGCAGATCTCTAACGGGGAAGAAGCAGCTTGGATGCCGTTGTGACTAAATGATGGACAGTTTTTGAAAATGCAAGTAGACACTGGAGCATGTAAAATAGAAAGAAAAGACTTTCTATAAAAAGACTTTGAGTAGTATTTTTCTATGTCTAAATTAAGGAAGTATAATTAGAAATTAAAGTCTGTCTCTGGAGAAGTTTTAAATGTTTTGGGGTCTATAAAAGTAGGGGTGATTAATTTAAATAAAAATTCATATTTGGTAGTTATCGACTGTCATAAATATTTTAAACCATTAATTGGAAGGAATTTGCTAAAAAATATTTTTCCTAGGTGGCAGAAATATTTTTCTTATGTATTTTTTTTTATAGTGAAATAAAATTTTTAGGTCATATTATTTGTAAAAAAGGAATTAAACCATTACCAAAAAAGTACAGGCTAGTATAAAAGCTCCAGCGCTCAAATCAGTGACTCAATTGCAGGCTTATTTAGGTCTGTTAAATTATTACTGTTAATTTTTGCCAAAATTATCGACACATTTGAAACCTCTGCATGAATTATTAAAAAAAATACAAAATTTATATGGTCAGAGCGTTGTGAAAAATCGTTTGAGAATAGTAAACAACTTATAATGCAAACTAAATTATTAGTACACTGTGACTGTAAGGAATTGTATCTAACTACTGATGCCAGTGAATATGGGGTGGGTGCAGTGCTGAGTCATATAATTGATGGGGATTCAATTTATTTTGCATCAGCCTCCTTAAATAGAGCTCAAATAAATTATTCTCAGGTAGAAAAAGAGGCATTGGCCATAATATTTGCAGTTAAAAATTATTTAATTAACTTAAATTATAAGTGGTTGATGATCACAAATTTTTGATCCTTTAAAGAAAATACCAGTAACAGCAAATGCGAGATTACAAAGGTGGGCCTTATTGCTTTCAGGCTATTATTATAATATCATTTACAGGAAAGGAATTTTGTTACGAAATGCGGATGCTCTTTCTAGACTACCTTTGACAGACATAGCTGAGGAGGATTATTAAAAATTTTCAGATGATTCTCCATTACATTTTAAAGATATTGCAGAATATACTAGGACAGGTCCTATTCTATGTAGGGTATATGATTTTATTACTATAGGATGGCCTAGGTGTGTTGATGAGAATAATTTTAAGCAATATTTCTTAAAACGTGCTGACCTTACTGTTGAACAAAATTGTGTTTTATGGGGAAGCAGAGTTATAATACCTCTTAAGTTAAGGCCTAAAGTCTTAAAACTATTTCATGTGCCACACCAAGGGATGGTACAAACAAAAAGATTGATGAGGCAGTGTTATTGGTGACAAAATTTAAGCAATGACATAGACATTTTATTAGCCAGTTGTAATATCTGCCAAGCTTCGAGAAATTTCACAAATTCATGTCCACCAATTCCATGGAATAAAACTGAGTTTAACTTTGAAAGGGTTCATGTAGATTTTTTTATATAAACTCAATTACCTATTTGCTCTTGATTGATTCAAATTCAAAATGGTTAGACATTCATATCATACAAGGTACATCAGCCACTCATGTCATAGAGAAATTATGGAGGACTTATGCCATAATTGGAGTGCCTGTTAAATTAGTGAGTGATAATGAACCTCCATTCAACAACTCCCAATTCATAAATTTTTGAAGCTGTCAAGACTCCACCATATCATCCCCAGTCAAATGGGTTGGCTGAAAGGACGGTCCAAACTATAAAAAAATGTTTAGGTATGCTAGAATAGATTCATCCAAAGTTGAGTAGAGAAGTGTTATAGCAGATTTTTTTATTTTCCTACAGAAACTCGCCTAATGGAACTGGATTGGCACCAAATGAAATTTTGTTCAAACAGAAACCTCGAACGAAATTTGATTTACCGCAACCACAGAATATAGTAACAAAAAAATTCAGTAAAGAAAACAGATTAGGTGTGGTGTAAAGACTTAAGTAGGGGAATAGGATGGTTAAAGGGTGTAGTTATTAAAAGATTAAGTACTATAACATACAATGTTAAAGTTGAAGGAATAAATAAATATTATCTTGCATCATCCTTAAGACTAGGTAATGCTATTGATGATCAATCAGATTTATATGATAAAGCTCAGGTATCAGGACACTGGGAATCATTAGTTCAGTCTGAAAACAGATCTGAATTAGAAAATTATAATGCAGTAAAATCACCTGGTGATTTCATATTAAATAGAGATTTGGAAGAAGTAGAAGAGGAAAATGAAAATGATGCTAACAGGAATTCCGATTTATCTAATGCTTCTCAATCTGAAATGCCTGTACCGGAATTGCGTAGGTCAACTAGAATAGGAAAAGCTCCTGATGAAGACTTGCAAAAACTTATTCCTTTTTGGTTTTTTTAAATTACCTTATTTGTAAACCTAGATAAAGTAAAATAGTTTAATTCATCTTTTTAAAAGAGGGGCGACTGTTGTGTATTGAACATCACTATAATTAAAAAAATAAAATGTAAAAGCGGTTAGAAAAATGTGGTTCGTAAATTGTATTGTGGAAGTAACAAATAAAAATGATTTTGCATTTATAACCGGAGTAATTATTAAACTGTATTCATAAAACATGCAACCAGTGTTCATCACTATGAAAGTTATTAAACTGATTAACATATCCTACTGCATAAGATATATCAGGCCTTGTAAGCACTGCCAAATACATCAGGCTTCCGATGAGCTGCTGACATGGATATTCACATTTAATATTATCACTTTTTTTTAATACTTAATTTAGCTTCCATAGGTGTATCTACTGTTTTACATGCAGACTTATCAATATAGTTTTCTTGACTGGAGGTGATCACATTATTATCTTTATCAGTATTGACATTTATACCAAGACATGGTATTATTTGTCCAAAATACTTTATATTGAATTTGTTATCAAAGTTGCTTTTAATTGTTTCATTTTATTTTTATGATTAGAAAATATAAAAAAATCATCGACTTACAGAGTTACAATTGTTTTGTTACCATTTACTATTTTTGAATATAGACAGGGATCTATGGCAGATTTTTTATAACCATTAGGTAACAACACATTCTCTACCTTTTTATGCCACGCTCTTGTTGTTTGAGACCAGATATTGCTTTGTTAGGTTTTAGAACTTTAAATTTATTTTCACTAGTACACTCAAAACAAACTGGTTTTTGCATAAATATGGTTTCTTCCATATCTCCATTAAGAAACGCAGTTTTAACATCTAGATGGGCAGTCTCTTAATTTAATTGCAATTAAATCGCAATATAGTATGCCGGACAACAGGTGAAAAAGTTTCACCATAATTAATACCACCTTTTTGATTTGACCTTAGCCACCTTAGCCAGTCAGTCTTCTAGGACTCTCACAAGCTTCTAGGGGCATATCCAGTGTCGCGAGGATAAGAACCTATTACAATCTTATGATATTTTATAAAAGTAAATTAACTAAGCAATGGCCCAAATAACACAGAAAAAACAATCAAACGTTGAAAATAATGCCTGTTTTTATTGTTTACAGATGATTGTCACGTCGAAATGATTTGCGGCCTTTTCTACAACGTTCTCCAGGACAGATGGTCTTTTGTCAAACCACAAACATTAGTTTATGCTATTCAAGCTCAAAAAACGAAATAGACTTAAGATTTCCTATAAATCCTATAGTCCTGAAAATACTTGTCTAAAACAGTTTATATTCTAAGATTGTTACCTGACTGTCAAGTACCTAAATTAAATTATATATTTTTTAAGAAAGACTTGTTTTATTTCGATTACCGCGTTATACTAGCTGCAAGTGCACTATAAACGTCTCATCTCGCTCGCTATTAATTTGTGAGCAAATTGTAATAAAAGTAAAAACCTGCCAAGTGCGACTCGTACTCGCGCACCGAGGGTTCCGTACAAACTCAATTTAATACCTCTACGCGTTCATGAGAAAAGACGTAGAAACTTTAAAATTTTCAAAAATATTTTTTTTTTTATATGATTTAACTAAAAATTTACGGTTTTCGCAATTTTTCCTTTATCTGTACTATAAGACGTTACTTCGTACCAAATTTCAAGATTCTAAGTTCACGGGAAGTACTATGTAGAGTTTGATTCCCGTGCGAGTTTCGAAAATTTGCGGCATAAACGGCTGTGATTGCTATGGCTTAGAAGTTTGATTTTTTCACAGCTTCATGGGACAGTAGACATGAGTATAAGATATGAATTTCAGTTTGTACCTCCACACGTTCATGAGAAAACCAATCTTGACAGACGGACGGACAACAAAGTGATCCTATAAGGGTTCCGTTTTTTCCTTTAGAGGTACAGAACCCTAAAAATATTAATAAGAGAGGTAGGTAGTAGAAGTAACCTCCATCTTACAGAAGACTACAGTGAAATAACTGGTGCTGTTGTTTCTGTCGATGAAAAAACCAGGGCTCCACGGGAAGGGGAAGGAGTGTAGGCAATGCACGAAGTTATTAAAGGTAACGGCACAAGTAATATCGCTGTATATCGTATCATGATCGTATCGCTAAGATGAGCCTTAAGCTTATTTGCCACGGTTGCCAGCCGTTTTACATAAAAAAATAGGTACGTCCAAATCATTATCGTGAGAGTTATACCCTGTTATTCCTCTTTGCTTCCTTTGACTTCTGAGTTTGACATGTACCATGACGTCGCTCTTCTTGTTCTGAGACGTCGCTATTTACATTCAATAATTTTTTTAAGAAACAATGCAGTTATTAAGATATTAAAATCAGTTTTATACTTCGAGATCCCAGAAATGACCAATTATGTCACTAACGAAGCTAATTAAAGCTCCCATCAAATTGTTCAGGAAGGATGTTATCTCGTTTCTCGTCATTCGCCGTCATGATTTGGGTAGTAAGTACCTATCTTACCGCCAATATTCATCGGATTTCTTTAATTACATTTTTTGATAACTTACACTTAATCACAGCACACTTATTTGCAAAACTTATTAATCAAAGCGCCCAAGTAAGTAGGTACAGTCAAAACCGAATATAACGACATCTTTTTTAACGACGTGTCGGTTATTACGACCAATTGGCAAGGTCCCGACCGAAACCCTACATAAACCCTTGTAAACAAACCGCCTATAATAACACCGGATACAGCGAAATACCACTTAAAAGACTTATAGTCGATGAATATTGATAAAGTTCATATCGATATTCCTCGGCTATAACAACTAACCATTTTACTTGTTCCAGCAAAACAAAATATAGGTACTGTAGATACTTCAATTTTTTCATAGTAAACTTATCACTTCTATTTTATTTGAAAACAAATTTATATTCATTACCTATAACCATACTACATACAAACGTTATAATATAACTACTTTTGTATATTGATTATAACATAACGTCCGAAGTTATAATTATAGTCTCTTCAATGTCGTTATATCCGGTTTCGACTATACTTACCTTTAGTTTTGCAATGTACCCATTAGATTAGCAGGGGGCAAGTGTACCATAATAGGCTTTTGTTAAGTTCTTGCACCAAAATATTTAAATACCCTGATTAAATATATAAATATTCAGATCTCGAAGACAAACTGCGATACATAGCTGTGAAACCTACTGCATCGATATCTGTGCTGCGTCAAAAAATATGGCATTTACTCGATCTGCCCGACTATTGCGAAGAAGTGATCATATTGAAGTCGTCTGATGACAAAGAAATACCGCTTACTGCACTACGGAAGGGCAACGATCCACATCACCCGTATATCTTGGAAGTTTGGATGCCAGAAGCACGCCCACTATGTAAGCATATCGATCTCACATCGCCATCATTGCCGTCAATCAAAGTCCCTTTTTTTAATATGAGGAACAGGCGTAACGTCTTCCTCGTCATCAGGTTGCCACGAGGATATCTGACGACACCCTCCGCTCATTTCGTCTACCTGCAGAGCTCGGCGCTATCCACTAAAACCACAGACAATACCTATCTACTCCTGCACCGGTTCGTTGCATTTGCATAGCATTTGTACTCCAGTCTTGGATGTTTAATATGTATATATCAATATGCTTATATATGTATTCTATCCGTTACCCTAGTATCCCATAACCAGTGGCGGGGCAAGACCTAAATTTGATGTGGGCAAGACAGATTTCGCGAGGCCCTGTTCTGTGGCGACCTGAAGACGAATTTTATAAAATAATAAAAAAAAGAAATTCGCTTTGAAGCAATGCATAAAAATTTTTGAGGCGCGAGGCCCCTTGTACCGCGAGGCCGTAGGCGGTGGCCCACGTCGCCCACACCTTACGCCGCCTCTGCCCATAACAAGCCTTAGAGTGCTTACTTTGGTGCTAGACATCTAACGTAATAAATAAAGTAATAATGTGAATGATTTCAGCATCAATCGCACGTATCAACATGTTGACTCTGGGAAATGGCGAGAGTTTTGTCAACTGCAATGTAACCAGTGAGATGAGAGAGAAAGAGGCAGATGATAACGCGATCTGCGCTGCGAGCAATGGTAAAATCGCTAAAATCTTTATATAGATAGGTAACTAATTCTATTTGGCTCTATACCTAAACTCCAGAAATGTTGGGACGGGATATCATGCAAAGTTTATTCTTCTGGCTATTATTCCACGACAACAACAAAACTCGTATGATGTTTTTAATGCGACAAAGATTTTCATCAAACATACAGAAATAACTCTTTAACACTAATAAGATAGACTATTTTTCATTTATTCTAATAATTATTTTACTTCCAGCAAGTTCAGCTGTAGCAAATGAAACGATGCCAAACAATAACTTTAGATTCTCGGACAAGAATTGTATAAATAATTTATTGAAAGCGGAATACAAATCGGACATCACTTGCCGGATATCCAGTACGTCGCTATTCAAAATCAACGGAAAGAAAAATCGAGACAGTTTCACAAACATTCTGCTGAAGATACAGAGTGACCTTTGCACTTTAAGCAACAAGTTGTCCAATTTGGAAAACAGAATCCCAATGTGAAATGTTTAACGAATTATATTCTAATGAAAAGTTAAAAACAAGTTTTTTAATAATATATTTTATTTAAATAACTTAATAAATAACACCATATCTAGCTACTGTACAAAAATTAGGACAGCATGATTTTATTTACATAGAAAAATATATTGTATCGTACACGTGGTAATCGAGGCACAATTTTGTGACTATTATTTGACTAGGAATTACACATTACCCTCAGCGTAACCTAGTGTGTGATTATATTTTTGCTCTCCTCTGGAATACTCAATAGATTTCCGATAGAAAACTACCAGTTATACGCGGCTTCACCGTTTCGTTCTACAAGAACTATTGTTTAACAGAAAGTAATGAACATTGGATAAATTTTTCGCTCGCGCTGCGTTGAAGCGTACAGTTGTCTTGCTCTCTCGATTGAATGTTTATTTACAGACGTGTGCGTGCGAGAGTTGCTTTTATGCAGTTTAGTCGGATCATATTTTATTTGATGCTAGTATGAGCTTACCGTTTACCGTATCTTCCCTGTTGTTTTAATTTAAGAATTACAAGCAAACAACGCTGGAGCGCAAACAGGTACACCTTTCTTAAAAATATACATATTATTTAAAGTACAAAAAATTATGCAAACGCAAGCCTGTTGTGCGTTTTTTATTACGTTGAGATAATGCTATTTTATGGCGGCTATAAGTGTAGCATAGCGCGTAAAGCATACACATACAATATGGTACAGCGTAATGTGAACGTGTTCTAAATGTACCGGGCCCGATATCGTGCTACGAGCTTATAAAACTTTATTGTATAACGTAGTCTGTAGCCCAAGCACAAACTTCAGATCCGTATCCTTAGCACGAACGAATATCAAATTCGTAACGTTTGCGAGTCCGAAATGTCATTGTCAAATGTGTACTGATTTTTAGTAACTTAAAACTCAATTATTGAAATGTTTGTAATATTTTAAAATTATTTTCATATTTCACATCCGAATTTACACAGGTTTACTAACAAATCGATTTTCCGTTAGTTTTAAGTTAAAGTTGACTAGATTGGCATATTTAAATACAGAAAGATAAACAAAATCAAATTTCAAAACGTAAACAAATTACGACTTCCATTAATGTTCAAGTACCTAAATCTAAGGCCAATGTTTGCGCAATAAGACGTCAAATTGAGTGCGGTCGGACTCCGACTCCGCCGCCGAGCCGAGCAACTGTCTCGCTTCCGCACACGGTATTCGTGATCTATCCGTTTGCTGCAACGATATTAAATACCCTAGATCAGGGTAAGCGAACCAATGGCACGCGTGCCTTTGTTGGCACGCGACACAATATTTTGGGCACGTCGCCGATCATAAAACATGTGTAAAAAATATGTTGATGAGTTTTGGTAGTATTTATCAGAATGTCAATATTATTTTGATGTCACGTCCATGACCCCATTAAACATTTTTTACAAAAAATGGCACGTTGATGCATAAAGGTTCGCCTGCCCTACCCTAGATACACTAACACGAATAAAATCGTGCCCGTAACCTGTCCAAAAGGTACATTGGACGATCCACGGCGCTCCGTCAGATGATCGGGTAGTCAAAAACAATATGCATATAGGCATTATTTAAACATTGAAAGTCACCTTTAATGCATACTGTATACAGTATGCATTAAAGGTGACTTTATAAGGTCTTAATTAAAACGCATGCGTCAAAGAGTTATGACAGTTCGAAAAGCAAGCTCGTAAAATTTTACGAAATTGCTATATGCGGAAGAATATAGACCTTATTTCTTCGACTCTACGCGCAATTCTGAATGCGCTGTTAGCAATATAGCAGGTACGGACCGCGAGGAAAAGAGACGGCTATACTACCGACCATGCATTTGAATATCACAAATATTTTCTATTAAATCAGTTAATAGTAAGTATTAAAACAAAATTTCCTTTGAATGTGTTAAATTAACAAACATGGATTAAATACCTGTCGAAAAAATGATAATTAACATACTATAAGTATTTTTTCGTATTTTTTTACGGAGCTCTGCGGCAACTTGCCTTCTCACCGGTCCGCGCGTGTGTGTGAACCAAGAAGTGCTTAAATAGTGTTCAAGCACTTATTGATTGGGACACATTTTTAACGCGCGTGGTGTATCTAGGGTATTTAATATCGTTGGTTCGCTAACTCTCCTTCAGTGAAGTGTGAAGTAGATGATGTACTGAACTAAGTGGGACCCGAATGAACGCCTGAAGGAGATATACTTACTAAGAGGACTAGTCCAATTGAAGGATTCATTCACTAACGACTCAACTCTACTTTCGATTGGAGGTAGCTTTTGTATCTGACGTCTACATACCTACCAGATAAAATGAATAAAAAGTTGTTAACATCCATAGTCATAACCTCGTCAAATAAGTATATGAGTCACCATCACCAACTTACTATTATCATAAATTAAATGTCATAAACATAAATAATAAATATTTTTGGTGTCATTCAGATTTTACACAAAACTTCCGACACAAAATCACTGTTATGATAAATTAAATCTGTCAAGTAGGCTCTTGTATACTGTGTACAAGTAAAACAACAATAATGAGAAGCCATATTTGATCGTTAGAAACTGTTTCTTCACCACTGAATTACAATTCTGAAACAAAGAAAAAAAGTAATAAATGTTTTTATTTATTTCATTGCATTAAAATTTGTTTTGTATGCATGTATGGTTGACAAAACTATCGCAACGCACAATCTACTGCTACTGCTGCTAACTAAATGAAATTCCATAAAAACATCATCTCAGCTGTACAGCGCCCACAGCTGAGACAAAGGTCTCCCTCAAAGATCTCGACAACAAACAGTCTTGTGCCATGCGCATCCATGAATTTAGAATCATTGCAATGAAAAAATATGTTATTCCCATAAAAAAATGCAAATAGAAACACCAATACACTAACAAGCAATGTCTTTAGGGAATATGACATTCAATATATAAAAGAAGATCAGTGTTAAGTTTATAAAAAATATTACCTTATATTCAAAGTCATAAACACTAATCATACAGCATTTGGTCATGACTGTAAAACCACACATCTTCTCCTGCATTCCCAATGCATACTCTATACTACGAATCAAATCATTTGTACGCAACACAAGCAGAGCTTGCCGATCCACATTTTCCAAGCATTGTGTCACATAATGAAGAAAATTTGGAAGCTCGTTTTGAAATACAATTTTCTGGAAATAAATTATTGATTAAATAAATTGTATGCAAATCTTTAATATGTTGCAAAGTAAAAACAAAATATTAGGTTTTTCGACATCTGGATTGGCTTTGTTGCTACATCCTTATATTTTATTGGAATAATATTAATTTGCTATTCATGTCATGCATCCAAGACTTCCACTGTCTAAACTGAATACTGACTCAGTTAAATAGAACATTGAACAGTATTGCAATGGTAATGAATAATGTTCAACGTTTTATGTGTTAAGTTGCCATTGGTTACACTCCCATTTAAAAAATGCAAATGATGTAAATACATAATTGTGTAGGTATTTAAAAAAATATATGCACATACCTCATGAGAACTTGGCCGTGTGTCACCTATGCCCTTCAAAATAGATTCCCATGGTCTTCCAGTAACCATGCAAGAGAAAATAATATGGAGCTCTTCACGAATCCCCAATTTCGATGCATAATATTTCATATTTTTGCGATCCCTATTTATAATTGAAAGCCACAATTTGGAATAATGATATCTAAATGTATCACTCAGTTGCTGTAATGATAAACAAAAAAGTGATAAAAAATTGGAATAACAGAAAAAGAATGCTATCACATTGAAATATTTATAAATCTTTATTATACATAAGGACAACTTACAGCATACAAACCATGGTCCAACAAGTAAACGGACACTTCTTTATCATCTGGTTCTTTCTGAATGAGGATATTGCCAGGATGTGGGTCACTATGTACAAATCCAGTGACAAAAATCATATGAGCATAAAGGTCACCCAACTTACTACATAAATCAAATTTGTTAATATTGTGTTCCTAGAAACAAGGCAAGCTATTAAACTTTGATTCATTGATAATTGTTTATCATAAACTTGTTGTGAACAAAAATACAATATTAAACATAGCTTAACAACTAATAAGTGTTTGCTTTGAATTAGCTGCTCCCACCCAGACCAGACAGACCCTTCTAGTCAACCCTATTGGTCGACAGTACCAGTTGATGAGCCTGTGACACATTATGTTACAGTCATTAACTGCTAACTCAAAGCAAACGAGTAGTAAATTTACATCAAATTTTTTTAGACCATCAATTTTGAGACAAATCCTCTTAAAAATCTTTGAATTCTTCATGATATGGAACTGGCATAAGTTCTATCATGTAGAGTCCCAGAACAGAATGTTTGGGACTGGTGACCCTTTAGGTAGGGCTCCTATAGGCATGTTACACTTACCTTTAATGGCCCATGGCCTATTCGCTCATACATTTACAAGTGACAAATAAAGAATGTAAATTACTTTTTATATATACAATATTACAAAAATTAATTACTCATACTTACTTCAACATATTTTATATCATTAACCTGTCCACCAGTAATGTATTCCATAACTAAAACTCTCTCAGTACTATAATCCCAAAATATTTTAGGCACTTTCAACCATTCATAGTTTTTGAATAAGGATGCAACCTTTTCAGCATTATGGCCCTCTTGTATGAAATCCAGTTCTTTTTCCAGGTTCTTCTTGGTTTCATCAATGAGCCATTGCATTTGGAAATCAGGAAATACTCTAGACATTGTTTTGAGTACAAACTCCATCCATCTCAGATCTAAATTAATGTTTTTCCTCACAAAGTGATGTTGAACTTTGACAGCAACTACAGTACCATCGTGAAGGGTGGCTTTGTGAACCTGAGCAAGAGACGCTATTCCAAGAGGTTCAGAATCAAATTCAGCAAACAATTGCTCGGGCTGAAAATAATTTAAGATATGTTAAATAATTGTAACTATCCTGTTTTTGTATTGATATACATTATTTTACTGATATTGTTGACTAAGAGGAGTGTTCTATGTGGAAACCTTTCAAAGTTCTGTTAAAATATATAAAAATATTGATTTGACAATTGTGAAAATATTATGTAATATTTTACATCACTGTAAAACATTAAAATCCAAAGTAATGCAACTAGCAATTCCAAAATTCTGCACTACAAACCTCTTGTTTTAAATCCTCCCTTATTACTTTATATAATTCTTCCACAGTATTTTTAGGTGCATCTTTGTGTAATATTCTCATGGTTGTAACATATTCAGTGGGCAGGAGGTAGTCCATTGCACCAACATGTTGCCCAATTTTAATGTATACGCCTTTATTAGCTCTGCAAAGTTCTAGTAATTTTTCTGCACCAATTTGATGTGCTGCCCTCTTTGCTTCCTCATATTCGGGAGACGTTCTATCCCAATCCTTGCTATAAAGCATAGCCTGATAAGTTCTGCCAATTTCAATTGCAGTTACCGCAGTCCTAGTAATTCTAACAACTGCGTGTGTACCAATTTCATTTTCTTGGAGTTTCAGTGCAGCGACAGTTCCACCTATTCCTACACTACCATATAAACCGTATTTCACAACCCGTGTGACATTTCTTGAAAACATTTTGATTGTATTTATATTTTTACTAATATAAACCACATATTCTACTTAGAAAGGAGCACATCGCTTTCTTTTCACTTCGTCCTCATTGAAGAAATAAACGGCGAAAATGCAACAGGTTGTGTTGTGAATTAAACGTCTATTATTTGACATTGACTAATTTTTTTGTAATATTTTCCTTGGATGAAAAGGCAAAGTATTCCAAGCGTATACAATTTATTTAATAATGAATATGCTGACCCGTAGGTTTTTCTGTTGTTCGGAAGAAGTTAAAATGACTCTGTTCAAAACATACTGTCAGGCGTTTTACACGGAAAGCCTATGGTGCAGTTATTCTAAGAGATCACTTAACGCTCTCCGCGTTCAATACAATCATGCGTTTAGGATGCTATCCTAATGTCTGTAACCAACAAATTGGATAGTTGCTTCATCAAGCATTGAGTGAGGACTGAGGAGGGTGATGATAACATAAATAAAAATTGTAGACGGCAGCGATGAGGAAATGACTATTTTAATTATTATATTTTTTTTTATGTTGAATCAGGTTCAGACTCAGAAAACAAGCGCGAGAAATAAAATGTGTAGTTTAAGCAGGGTGGCCATAGTGGCAGCAGGCAAATGATTGCCCGCGCAGGGTTAGACTTTACCGGAATGTTATGTACGGCCACAGTGCACGCTGGTTCAGGATCAGGTTCAGACTCAGAAAACAGGCTCGTGAGATGTCACCTTGAGGAAAGCAGGTGATGGCCACAGTGGAGGCAGATAATACAAGACGCGGACGCGAACACTGTTGCCAGATTGGGTGGCAAATTTGGGGTGTTTTTAAAGGGAACAAATTTTTGAGCCGTTATTTAAATATTCGAGATGTTATTATGATCAGTTAAGAAACACATTGAGCAGTTATTTAATTTAATGGCGGTTGATTAATATTGCGACGGTAAAACATGGACAGTAATAAAAAATCAATTAGACCGTTATTTTATCATACAATATCAATTCTAAAATAATTGAGCAGTCCAATAACATAATGAGAGGTAAAAATGATGGAATGAGCGATTCGATAAATAGTTCGGCAGATCATTGCGAGCGGCGACACCCAAACTCAAATTCATTGAAAAGAGAGGTAAATGTTCGTATGGGCGGAGCTTATTAGCGCGGTGGGCTGCTCTTATTATACAATAAGTTTATTTTAGCTGTTACTAAGCAAATTCTTTGTCATTTTAATTACTTAAGTATGTTTCGAATTACGAATAAAAGTTCTTATTATTATTAAACAATTTGTTTTATTTAATTCCTTCAGTCAAAGCAAAAGCTTTTTAATTTTTCATTACTATTCAAGAAATGTTTTATTTTATTTTATATTACCTCATTGCTTACAGAATTGCTTAGAATGAGATTTCTTACCGACAATTGCCGATTTATTACTACCCACACGTAACCGCTTGTTTAATAATATTTACCGGCCTTTTATTATTTTCCTGCTCAATTATATGTTCACTGATCCATTTCATTACTCATTTTTGTTTACTTTACTGCTTAGTTTTAACTGCTGAACTAGTTATTAAACGTGCCATTTACAATTTTTAACTTACCATAACTGCTATTACAACTGCCTCTTTAAATCAGTGCCGTTTTTAAAATGATGGGGGCATCAATGGGGGAAGAAATTTTGTTTTCGGGGAACGGGGTTTATTTTTAATTACATTTTTGATATAAAAATAAAACCACTTCATAAACTTTTAATCTGTAAAAAGTCGCAATCAACAGTCTCTCTCTTTCTCATTCTGCACAGAGCATGATAAGGAAAGACTCTTATCAAAATTTATTTTATTAGGCTTTGCTAATATTATAATAACAATTTCTAATAATTTTTAAGAAAGCAGTTTCGCCTATATATATATATATATATATATATTAGAAATACTGTATTTGATCCCATATTATAGTAGAATACTATATTTTACAGTAGGGTTCGCAACCCCACCTGCAGTCCGAGCGGCGCTGGTGAATTCAGAATCTGTCTAGAAACAAGAATTACCTAAACATTCCGGTAAAGTCTCAGACTCCGAACCCTGCGCGGGCAACCAATTGCCTGCTGCCACTATGGCCAACCCACCCTGCTTTAACTACACTGTTTATTTCTCGCGCTTGTTTTCTGAATCTGAATCTGATTCTGAACCAGCGTGCACTGTGGCCGTACCCTTTTTTAGGTCATTCTTGTTTCAGATCCTGAATTTACAGCGCCGATCGGGCTGCAGGTAGGGTTGCCAACCATACTATAAAATATAGTATTCTACTATAATATGGGATCAAATACTATATTTCTAAAATAAATATATAATTCATAAGTCATTCATTTGTATAGTAGGCGAAACTACTATATTTTGCTTAAAGCATATTTTTGACAGTAAAAGCTTACTTAAAAAATATTAGAAATTGTTATTATAATATTAGTAAGGCAAAGAGCAGCAAAAATATATTTATTTCAAAAATAAAGTAAATATTTTAACCACATTATGGTGTCGATTCTGACATGATTCTCTAAACCTAAACTTAAAGACAACAGTGTATCCTTGTCGTTCTCTATACAGAATGAAAAGGAGAGACGGATATTAAATTTAGTTTCAGGTTTAGATAATCATGCCAGAATAGAAAGACATCACTATATTTTTTTTTAAATTGCTAAAGTTGGTAACCCTAACTGAAGCTTATAGTTGTATAAGTAACCTTTTCATTGGTTGTGTTATAAACAAACATTTAGTGCCTTGCTTCTTGTTTGCGATCTACTCTTGTTTCTTGATTTATATTTTAGAATTAACATAATGAATATCGAAGCACTTATCGCGAGAGATTTTCTTAACCCTGCTGTATGGGATAAAATAGATAAAAACCATTCAAATAGGAATGTCGTTGATAGGTGCTGGCAAAACATCGCTAGAGAAATAGGTGTTGAAGGTAAAGAAATACTTTTTCAGGGCCAGATTTAGAGGTCCAGAGGCCTCGGGGCAACAGAGGAGTGGAGGCCCCCTCACCCCAAATTGTTTTCCAAATAAAGTAAAAATTTTTTTTCAGTCGAGTTTTTCAAATTATTTTCCAAATAAAGTAAACAATTTTTTTTCAGTCGAGTTTTTCAATAAATAATTTATTGTGAACCAAGTAGATTCACTTAGTATTGAACAAACACATTTAAATATAAACGGAAACAAGAATTATCTGAAATTAAATCTTACAGTTAACGAACGAAACCTTTTGAGCTTTTTTCGCCGAAAAATCGTTGATGATTTCGTTGAAATCGAGTTCTCGGAGTAAATCGCTTTCAACGCTCAGGAGAGAAAGCTTCGATAGACGGCTTTGTCCCATCGTGGTTGGAAGCCTATTTTTTATAATTTTCATTTTTGAAAATGAGCGCTCTCCAGTGCAATTTGTTACCATCAAAACCAAATATATGTATGTTAGATGTACAAAGTACTGTAGGCTGTAAGTAAAGGTAAAAGAGCAAAAAAAAATATCAAAGGAAAGGATGTTTACTAGTTGGAATTTGAAAGATTTTTTTTCCGAAGTCTCTATTGTGGGGGCCCCCCGTTTGTGGAGGCCCCGGGGCTTTCGCCCCGGTTGCCCTCCCTTAAATCCGGCCGTTTTATTGTAGTCTCATTTTTAATACAATTTATTATATTATATTGTGAAACGCTTATTGCGTCGTTATTATTGTTACAGAAATAAAATGTAAACAGAAATTAAACAACAGGCAACACATACCTACAGATCTTTTTTAGATATCCAATCATTCCATGAAATGTTTTCCGTTTTAAAAAATATTACTAGCTTTAAATTGTTAGGTCCGTTGGTTTTGTATTATATACTTATAAAATATTCAATATAATCCAAATAAAAAACTTTTCATCTGTGAGAAGTTTCTTTATTGTTGTCATAAACTCAATCTTATGTTTATATGCATTTAAATAATCAATTATTATAAAACAAATGTGTGAAATTTCTTCCCCCTATCAATCCCTCCAAAAAAATTTTCCCCCCAATTATCCCCCCATCGCTTTAAAAACCTCCCAAATTTGAGGGGAATCCCCCCAATCTGGCATCAATGCTCGCGTCCGCGTCTTGTATTATCTGCCCCCACTGCGGCCATCACCTGCTTTCCTCAAGCTGACATCTCACGAGCCTGTTTTCTGAGTCTGAACCACAGACATATAATACTATAGCAGACGGAACATGAAACCTAGTTATATTTATGAATCAAAACATGATCTTTTATCCTTTTTGTACTCAGCTACAACTTGATAGTGGCATCTCATTCTTTCATCTATTGCAATACTGACTCACACATCAACAAATGTCGACGCGTGTCATTTTTATTCCTCGCCGCCATTTTATACATGACTTATCGGACATGCGACTTTTCGGTGTTTATTAAGAATATTGCTTTGATGAAACTATATTACAAAACGAGATTATTCAATTACTATGGTCAAGTACAGTGCGTATCGATGTGAAAGTGCTACCTACAATAGAACACCAGGATTAACGTTTCATCAGTAAGTTTTTATGTGTCTTTGTTGTGTACTGAAATGTCTTTGAGTCTTTTTGAAGCTTATTTAAATATTATCGTAACATGTAACATTTTTTACGTAGGATTATTTATCTAAGATACTACCGGTGAAAATTAATATCTTAAAAGTAAAGAAATAGAAGTAATCAGGTTATATCATGATAGGAAATTCCAATTCTGACAACTGAAGTACTATTGCCATAACAGAGGACGGACTCGGTATCAAAGACAAAAAGTTTCTCGGCATTAATTTTGTTTGCATTACATTGTATTATGAATGTGAATGCAATCAAGAACGTCAATAGATAGGCACCTATTACAGACTAGCTATTCATATTTCTTGGAACATTGGCATCGGTAGGTATATAACCCAAATAACCACATAAACAATTTTGTTCTAGGTTTCCAAAGGATAAAAGTACTCGGAATGCATGGTCAAAATCTATGAAACGTCAGGATTGGCAACCAAATACTTATAGTGTTTTAAGTGTTTTTTGTTTTAAAATAAACAAAAGTAATGATTTTAATAGGTTGATTAAATTCATATGTGATTATGTCGATTATTCAATATTTGACTCGAACAATCCAGATCATGATATAAACCATGTCCACTTGCTTATTAAAGTTGTTAAAATTTTATTTTGATCTTAGATGTAAACATCAATGTTAAGAAACAAATGTATCTCAGAGAAATTTTCTAAAAAAACTTGCATTATTTCAAAATAAATAGATAAAAACTATGCCTTAATTTTTTATTTCAATTTTCCTAATTGTACCTATGTCCTTTCCCTGGGTTAATTCTATCTCCGTGCTCAATTTCATCATTATCGGTTCAGCGATTTCGCCTGGCTAAATTCACCATGAAGATATTAAACAGACAGATTTTAACATTTATAATATTGTATTTCATGAAACAATAATGAAATCCATTATTCTACTATACTAAATGCGGCCCATGCTTTGGTAGAGTTTCAATGTGTGTGTATTTGCCACGCTGTTTAAAACTGAATATTCCGTCTGCTTCTAGTTATATGTCTGTGGTCTGAACCCAAGAAGCTTATATACAACACTGGAGATTGCAGTGCAAACAATACATTGAAGTGAAAAAATATGGCCTTGAATGACGTCACATATGTTTGTTATCTCTTTCTAAGGGTGACCATGTTGGAATATACGTTTAGGATACATACTTACTGGTATCGTCTTTAAACAATTTATAAATCAAAGCGTTGGAGTTGATAGGAACTTGGGAACACATTATTTAATAGTAATAAAATTCACAAGTACAAAAATCATTTTATTCATATTAGATGCGTCTTATATTATGCAATGTTAAAAACGTTTATAAAAAAATTAACGAGAAAGAATATGCAAACCCTTTTTAAAATCGCCAGAAATGCCTTTTACTAAGAACGGACTAGAAACTCTAAGCTACATATTTTGGCTGATAAATAAAATTGACCTTTTAATGGTATTGTTACGTATCGGGATGGGGTTCGAAATTATTATATGCCAGTTCACGATTGACAGTTCTTTATTCACCACACAGTTCACACAATTAACACACAATGTTAATTACAAAACTCTCACTAAACACTGTATTTCACTATACAAGTCTCTAAACAATCTCACTTGAACACTATTGTTGCACTTTGATCGCCTTTGGATTCGCTCCGAAATCGCTGTTGAAACTCAACTGTCTCTGCACGGCGCCAATCGCCCTTATATACGCCGATCGATGCATTCTAGAAAGTAAATAAATAAATAAATATTTCCAACACTCACACCAATTAGCCTAGCCCCAAAGTAAGCACTATAAGGCTTGTGTTATGGGATACTAGGGTAACGGATAGAATACATAAACTGTACATATATAAGTATTTTTTTTTATAGAAATACATATTAAACATCCATGACTGGAGTACAAATGCTCGTATTCATCACACAAACATCTGTCCCCACCGGGATTTGAACCCGGGACCTCTCGAGTCGGCGACACCATGAAACCCGGCGTACAAACCACTCGACCACGGAGGTCGTCGAAAGTCGAAGTTCTAGAAAGTACCCGTTAAATAGAGAATGACCTAGCACCCGCGAGTACGAAATACCTACTTATACCTACGTAAGTAACACGCATAACTTGTAAACAAGTGCAGATATCGTTGCACTTTCTCCTTTACGTCGCACTGCATAAGGCTCATTTTAGAATGAGCCACCTTACTCGACTTCTATTGCGACCCGCGGTGCTCTGGCAAATTCGATCTCTAGCACATTCGCGGTTCCGTTTCGAGAGCGTTTGTGACAGTTTAATGGACAACCAAGAATTTCTTTAAATGACATCTTTCGGGAAGCTGAAACATAAACAAAGGTATAAGACCGCTGCTAGATACCTGTTATTAAATAGGTTTTCTACATCTAATCAACATGATCTACTACAGTATTTATTATAAACTTATTTTCATATTTTGAACTTTGTAATTAATATTTACAATAATACTTATGTATTTTAACTTTCTCAAAATATCTCAAGTGTAGTGATAATGGTTACCCTACAAAACCAAAATTTATATTATTTTAATTTAATAAACTGCTGAATATGGTACAAAATGTAGTGAATAAAACAAGAAAAACGTTAATTTATAGCCTCAGGACACTATGATTTATAAATACTAACGTTTTATTATGATTACAACATAAAAATATTGGGATCTGACAAAATTCGTGAGACACCTGGTGTTCAATTTTGGAACTAATACCGGGGTGCATCGCTCATCAAAACACATAAGTTATCATTAGTGTCATTAGTACTTTTGAGAAATTAAACAAAAAATGACGGAAGAATTAGGAATATTTAACCCTCGCAAGATTTCTAAAAAAAGAATAAAGTGTTGTGTGTATGGATGTGGAAGCAGTTTTCAAAAAAACCGTGAATTAACGTTTCATAAGTTTCCTAAAAAAAATGCGCGTTGTGTTTACATCAAAAATTATTTTGGTCAAATGGAAAAAGTGGACCAATTCACAGCATGGAAGAACGCTTTGAAGATTGACTGTAAAATAAATCCTCACATGAAAGTGTGTTCATTGCATTTTCTGAAAGACGACTATATATTACCAGGTGAGTCAAATTCGTTTTTTGAGGTTAAGCATGTGTGAAGTAGCATTTTACAAGATCTCATTATTATTCCACTAAGAAAAGAATGGGACGGCAACAACATTAAAATGAAAGAGTTTCCTTGGTTTAGTTACCACAATTCAATAAATGTTTGTGTATACCACAATTCAATAAATGTTTCGCAGCTACCAGTCGTTCACCCTCTCGAAAATTGCGATTACTGGGCGTTGAACCGGACCATTCACAAATATCATTAATTGTTAAGACTATCATTATCTACCACTAATATTGATATTTAACTATTTTACGGTATTTCATCACGGTTTGACTAGGCAAATGCACCCCCGTCGGCGCCATATTGAATAGGCCACGCCTCCATGTCAGATCCCAATAGGAATATGTTTATTTCGGTATTGGCGTAATGTAATAGACTTACCTGTGAATTTTAGTGCTGGAATTTGGTTCCCAAACACTTCTGCAATCTCGCACAACACAATACATATTATAAATAGCAAATTGAACAATTTAACACTTTTTAATAATAATCTAAACATTCGAAGCGGTAGATTTTTTTTGACAGATCGGAGATATTTTTCAGTTGATTTTTTAATTAGTGTTGCTATTATACCAAAATGGTAGCAACCAGCAAACAGGGAAATAAAGGGCGTATTTATTATTTAGTTTTAAATATTGATTTCAAAGTAGTTGGTTAGAATTTGTCACACTCATCTTATAATAGTAATACAAGAGTAGGACTTCTGGAGATTGTAAAACTGATTGATATCTTGCATAGTTCTGTTTATTTTCACTTTCTGATTGGAATTTCTTGTATTTAACATGGTAATTTTAGATAGTGTGTGAGAGAGATAAAAAACATATCATGGGGTTAATGAACTCGTCTTCATACAGAAGTTCTACATGCAATCTCCAGTGTTGTATATAAGCTTCTTGTCTGAACCTAATCCTGAACCAGCGTGCACTGTGGCCGTACCCGTACTGTCATAATCTATTATTTCTACAAAACATAAACAACTAACAGAGAATAAGTCTACTAACAAATATGGATCGTTGACTAAAATTAATGAATTATTATTAATTCAGTTTTTTCTCTTTTAACATTGGAATGCAACTTAGAATTTAAGATTTTTGTTTTTCAACAAACTTTTTATTCAATTTACTGTTATTTTATACTTTTTGTGACTTATTTCGCGTAATAGTAAGTTTTTTGAGATTATTACAGGAAACTAACAATTTAAAAGAAGCCTTTATCCCAACTCAGCTAATGGTGTCGATTCTGACATGATTCACAACGTAGAGTCAACTATGTGGCGGCGCGGCGTTCATTTAACAACGAAGTGTCCACCCATGGCCAAATCGCTAGCTGGTTGACAACGGGTGGAAGTCGTGCGAAAAGGCTAAGCCTATGCCGGGTGGTTCTAATGAGCTTTAACGTTTATAATATCCTGTAATAAATAGTAAAAACCATAGACTTTTAAAACCGTACTGTTGTAGATAAGACTTTATGCTTTATTATTTATTGACTTTCAAAAGTAGAATTTTAAAAACAAAACAATGCGTCTATTTGTCATTTTTGGTTCTTCCGTTTCCGCAGTTTGACAGTTCTTTTTGGTAAAGTCTCCCGAAAATGAAGGCTAAAGGAGAGGTAAGATTCGTGAAATTCGGAAATAATTCTTTCATAGAACCTGAAATCACAACAAAAATAGTGAGCTACTTCCTAAAAGCAGATCTCAGAACTATATGAATCCTATAGTGTACAGAAAGTGATAAAAATTGGATATCTTGGAAGCAGCATACACGTTGTCGATACAATGTGCCGATGATGTTTATTACACGAAACTCTTTTTTTATTAGACTATCTTGTTTACTCTTAGTTATAATCATATTTTGAAAGTGGAAATATGTCGCATGAAAAGTATTGGTAACATTCTGTTGTGTTTTCTAAGCAACGGTTTATAGGTTATGTCTGTCACAGCCCAAACAATCTTGGAACCCCATCCATGAGATGAATTAGTTGGCTACAGTTCCACTCTTTTAATTTATTTCTAATAGAAATATCTAAAAAATTATAATGGGCCTGCTTTGCAATTCATTTTTTAATATTGTGTTTTTTGTGTTCTTTGATAATTATGTTCTATTTAGCATGTACGTTAATTTTTCTAGCATAAGGGTATATAATATCTTTGTTCTTTAAAGTTATTCTATTACTGAAATTTTAATGTCGTCCAGAAATTATTTCAATGAAAGATAAATTTATACATATTATTACAAATTGTTTTTCAGTTGAAGGAATATGAAGTCATTGGACGCAAGCTCCCATCGGAGAGCGAGCCCAAGCCACCACTATATAAGATGAGGATCTTCTCTCCAGATCAAATTGTGGCAAAATCTCGCTTCTGGTATTTCCTTCGCCAATTGAAGAAGTTCAAGAAGACTACTGGTGAAATTGTCTCCATTAAGGTAATCTAAAGAAAATATAACTAGAAAAAATTCCACTTCCATTAAGGTAATTTGAGATTAATGGACTGGTACTCAGGCAGTACTCAAACTCCTCAGCCCACCTAGCGTGAGCATCGTGAAAAAATATATAATTAGTTTTTATTATGCTCAATTGTAATAACTATTAATGGAGTTTGACAGTTACATGCGATAAAAAACCTAGTAAAACGTAAATTGTGGAGCTCATGCCATGGGGACAGATGTAATATTTTATTGCAGCAGTTTTTTTTTAGTCTTGTCAATAGACTCTATTATGGTAAAAGTAAATTTGCTAACAAATATAAAGTCTGTGCCGTTACTAATTTTTAATAGGTTTTTATAAAGACGAAAGAAATTAAAGCTGTTATGGTCCCTTTTTGCCCCTTCAATTAAAATTTATAAACAGTGTGTCCTCTTCAAGAATGAAAATGAAGACTTGTCCATTTTTTTTAGTTTAGGGAAAGATGCCAGTATCTATCTTCATGTGATTTAAACATGATACCTTCTAGCTATTTTCAACTTGCCAATCTGAAGTCAATCTCCTACCTAATGGATTATAGTTGAAGTATGGGACCTCCAGAGAGTACCTACCTTCATGACTGTCACATTTTCATATCACTAAATGTTTTAGGAAATTGCTGAAAAGAGTCCCATCAAGATCAAGAACTTCGGTATCTGGCTGCGTTATGAGTCCCGATCAGGTGTACACAATATGTACCGTGAATACCGCGACCTCAGTGTTGGCGGTGCGGTCACACAGTGCTACCGCGACATGGGCGCGAGGCACAGAGCGCGTGCTCACTCTATACAGGTATGTTTTCATAAATTATCACAATTTATGAAGTAATTATTTCCCTCCCACATAAAATGAAAAATATTTAGCTGCAAAATGGAAATGTTTAAAAAGCTGATGTTATTTCCTGTTTTGCATACTCTTTCCAGCTTGAGTAATGACCAGTAAAATTTTAGCCCGGCCGTTCAGAGATAGCGTTTCTTGTCAGGTTGTGTCAGTTCCTTATGGCGACAGAATAAAGTAAACTTTAGATCTAATAAAAAAGAGGTTCGAAAATTAACTCTAATGCTATCACCATAAGGAACTGACATGACCTGTCAGAAACACAATCTCTGAGCGGCTGGACTATAATCATGTTATCTGTCACTGTACAGCAAAACTGCATAAAATCCAATAACAAGAGATAACACAAAGTTTCTATCCCCTGTATGTTGATTAATTACTACAACTCTGAATCCTATCTCAAATAATTTAAATTAAAATTTTTTGCAACCTTAATGTCTGTGATACAATTTTAAGTGACATGCTTTGCTTTCCTTAATTACAACATTATAATGAATTTCTTTTCAACCTTTGCTTTAATCTTTTTTGCAGATTATCAAAGTGGAGGTGATCAAGGCATCAGCCTGCCGCCGGCCGCAAGTGAAGCAGTTCCACAACAGCACCATCAGATTCCCGCTACCCAAGCGTGTGCATCACCACAAGCGTCTCAATACCTTTGCATACAAGAGGCCCAACACTTACTTCTTGTAATTTTACTGTTCTCATAACAATAAAATCCATGTAATGTGGTATAAATGTGTTATTATTTTTAGTTTTGGCTAAAATCCCAGTTCATTGCAATTTAGTAGTTTAATACAAAAATTGACTTTGACTCATTCCGTCATTAAAATCTCTAAAAAAACTGGGTTTGTTTTTGGGATAATTAATGATTGTAATTTTTATTTTTGTAACTGCTGAGAAAAATAAGGTTTTTGTATTAGCCAAACCTGTAAGGCCCTTATGGCCGTCCCCTTGTGTGTTTTAGTCACGTGTCTGACATATTATTGGATTTCAGTTGAAATGGTAAGACAAAAGCGTTGTGTTACTTTGTGGTCTTTGTTGCGGGGCAGAAAACAGACGCTATCTCAAGAATTCCTTCACATAAACAGAGGCTAGGCTAAGATAAAATAAAAGTAATTCTCGTTATATCTCAATATTACTGTGGGCTCTCAGCGGGTACGCATACTATTAACCCCAGCGCCAAGAGGGCCATGGCCCTGAGTGGCAGGCTGCGAGGGCAGGTTGCAAGAACTGCGAAAGGGGACAAAAGCCTTATCAGGACATTCCTTACATACCTACTTATATTTTGGCAACACGAAACTCTAGGGCTGACCCACAGACATATAATACTATAGCAGACGGAACATAAAACCTAGTTATATTTATGAATCAAAACATGATCTTTTAAACTTTTTGTACTCAGCTACAACTTGATAGTGGCATCTCATTCTTTCATCTATTGCAATACTGACTCACACATCAACAAATGTCGACGCGTGTCATTTTTATTCCTCGCCGCCATTTTATACATGACTTATCGGACATGCGACTTTTCGGTGTTTATTAAGAATATTGCTTTGATGAAACTATATTACAAATAGCGGTGGGCATTTAAACGAAAAGCGCTTAAATAAGCGCGCTTAAAATATTAAGCTTGTAAGCACGCTTTTAAGTATAAGCTTTATAAGCTTATCACTTAAAAAGTGTGAGTAAGCTTTTCACTTAAAAAAGTGCACGTATATTTTTTACTTAAAAAGTGCAAATCCCGCCATCTATGTCTTTGCCAGGAAACTACATACTTCGATCCTTCTAGTCCACTACAGTATCGTAAAATGGGTACGCGGAATTCCTTGGTACTAAATATTTCACAATATCACAGACATAGAACGCGCGACTACAGCGCCGCGTCGGCGTGCCATCTTTCGTGAGCCGGTTATACAGAATGCGAATTATTATAATGCGACGCAAAAAAATGAACTTTTTTAAATTTGGTCGGATAACCAACGCTTTTTTCGTTAAAAGCGTTTAATTAAACGAAGTCGAAAAGCAGTACGCTTGTCACTGTGACGGGGTAAGAGCGCGTGGGTGTTGTACGGTGTCTTTGCATGCTTGCTTGACGTGTTAATGCGTTTCGTGTATTGGTTTAATGAGCATATAAAATAGTTAAAAGTATGTATATAAAATCAATGAACTTTTAAGTACGCCTGGATCACGAGTATATTAACTCCAGACAGTCCTAAGCTTGTAAAGTATGAAGGAAAGTTCATTGACTATTATAAAAAAGTTTATAATAAAATCTAAATTCAATTGAAAATCTTTCGTTTTTAATGCCAATCAATTCATTAGGTTTAAAAAAAATTTTTAATAAAAATTTCATTAATAAGAAGAAAAAACGCAATAAAACACTTAAACACATTAAAAACGACAATAAACTTTTCACGCTTTTTTAAACGATATACCTAAACGAAAACACAACACAACGTCGCGCTTTTTACGCATGCTTTTAAACGTTTAAGCCAATAAGCGTTTAAACGAAACGACAATAAACTTTCACGCTTTTTTAAACGATATACCTAAACGAAAACACAACACAACGTCGCGCTTTTTACGCATGCTTTTAAACGTTTAAGCCAATAAGCGTTTAAACGAAAAAGCTTTTTTTCAAGCGCGCTTATTTTAAAAAGTACAACATTTAAACGCTTTTAAGAAATAAGCCGTTTTTTCCATCTCTAATTACAAAACGAGATTATTCAATTACTATGGTCAAGTACAGTGCGTATCGATGTGAAAGTGCTACCTACAATAGAACACCAGGATTAACGTTTCATCAGTAAGTTTTTATGTGTCTTTGTTGTGTACTGAAATGTCTTTGAGTCTTTTTGAAGCTTATTTAAATATTATCGTAACATGTAACATTTTTTACGTAGGATTATTTATCTAAGATACTACCGGTGAAAATTAATATCTTAAAAGTAAAGAAATAGAAGTAATCAGGTTATATCATGATAGGAAATTCCAATTCTGACAACTGAAGTACTATTGCCATAACAGAGGACGGACTCGGTATCAAAGACAAAAAGTTTCTCGGCATTAATTTTGTTTGCATTACATTGTATTATGAATGTGAATGCAATCAAGAACGTCAATAGATAGGCACCTATTACAGACTAGCTATTCATATTTCTTGGAACATTGGCATCGGTAGGTATATAACCCAAATAACCACATAAACAATTTTGTTCTAGGTTTCCAAAGGATAAAAGTACTCGGAATGCATGGTCAAAATCTATGAAACGTCAGGATTGGCAACCAAATACTTATAGTGTTTTAAGTGTTTTTTGTTTTAAAATAAACAAAAGTAATGATTTTAATAGGTTGATTAAATTCATATGTGATTATGTCGATTATTCAATATTTGACTCGAACAATCCAGATCATGATATAAACCATGTCCACTTGCTTATTAAAGTTGTTAAAATTTTATTTTGATCTTAGATGTAAACATCAATGTTAAGAAACAAATGTATCTCAGAGAAATTTTCTAAAAAAACTTGCATTATTTCAAAATAAATAGATAAAAACTATGCCTTAATTTTTTATTTCAATTTTCCTAATTGTACCTATGTCCTTTCCCTGGGTTAATTCTATCTCCGTGCTCAATTTCATCATTATCGGTTCAGCGATTTCGCCTGGCTAAATTCACCATGAAGATATTAAACAGACAGATTTTAACATTTATAATATTATTAGCATGGACATCACATTAGGACCTATCTATTCGGATAGGTATTTCATGAAACAATAATGAAATCCATTATTCTACTATACTAAATGCGGCCCATGCTTTGGTAGAGTTTCAATGTGTGTGTATTTGCCACGCTGTTTAAAACTGAATATTCCGTCTGCTTCTAGTTATATGTCTGTGGGCTGACCGTGATTGCGCAGAAGTAAAAATTAAAATGTCTTGGGGGAAATAAAGTGCGCGGATGGGCGTGCGTTTCGCCGATTGGCTATAGTCTTACCCATGCGTAGAGATGGAAAAAACGGCTTATTTCTTAAAAGCGTTTAAACGTTGTACTTTTTAAAATAAGCGCGCTTGAAAAAAAGCTTTTTCGTTTAAACGCTTATTGGCTTAAACGTTTAAAAGCATGCGTAAAAAGCGCGACGTTGTGTTGTGTTTTCGTTTAGGTATATCGTTTAAAAAAGCGTGAAAGTTTATTGTCGTTTCGTTTAAACGCTTATTGGCTTAAACGTTTAAAAGCATGCGTAAAAAGCGCGACGTTGTGTTGTGTTTTCGTTTAGGTATATCGTTTAAAAAAGCGTGAAAAGTTTATTGTCGTTTTTAATGTGTTTAAGTGTTTTATTGCGTTTTTTCTTCTTATTAATGAAATTTTTATTAAAAATTTTTTTTAAACCTAATAAACTGATTGGCATTAAAAACGAAAGATTTTCAATTGAATTTAGATTTTATAATAAACATTTTTATAATAGTCAATCACGGACCTGAAAAAAAGCCGGACGTAATATCAAAGGCAAATCTTGTGAAGCATGACAATGACATGTAGGTCAGACAAAATCGTGTGTTGTACACTACCTACACTCACACTAATGCACCAGGTCGGACAATCCGCTGCCATTTGAACTCGCGTGACAGCGCCAGTCACACGTTCAATTGCTCCGATATATTTTTAAAAAAATGCCGTCTTGTGTGGTGAAATCTTTTAAAAACTACACGAGTAAATATGAAAAGTCACAAGGAATCACCTACTATGCTTAAGTATTGACGATTCTTGATATTTTTTTTATATTATATTTTATTTACAAGGATGAAAATTGTAAACAAAAATACAACTGTGTTGCTACTTTATTTACGGGAAATTTTCCCTAAAAGTAGGGAAATGTGTATTTCTTGCATTTGTGACTAGGCAAGATAAGATTTCGTAAATTTTTAGGGTTCCGTATCCCAAAAGGAAAAGAAAAGAAGCCATATTATTCATAGAATATTTTATATAAATTATTGTCTTGTCTTCTTTCTAATAGGTTTCCTAGAAATAGAAACCGTAGAGATGACTGGGTTTTAATTATTCGATACTGCAAGGGGGATAACACCTGTGTGCAGTGCACACGTTGTTTGGTTTTCGTTTAAACCGGAGCCTGTTAAGAATAAATATTAAAAACTAGCGGTCCGCCCTCGCTTCGCTTCGGTGTAGAGCTGAATTGTTGTATTATACACAATGACATTCATCTATGATTTTTCTTATACCTGTGCATGCAATTTCTCAGCCCGATCGGTTTAAAATTGACAAAGTTCCATACAAACTTTCATTCCCTATTTTATCCCCTTGGGGGTAGAATTGATCAAAATCCTTTCTTAGCGGATGCCTACGTCATAACATCTACCTGCATGCCAAATTTCAGCCCGATCTGTCCAGTGGTTTGGGCTGTGCGTTGATAGATCACTATGTCAGTCAGTCAGTCACCTTTGAGTTTTATATATATAGATACAGTTGAAACCCGTTAACAGAACTACTATACAAATAAACTTTTGAAACTAAATTACGATAACCAAAATTATTACAAAATGAATTACAGGCAGGACTTGAACTTGCATTTTCTGCTGTCTGGGTGGATGCACTAATTGCTATGCTACCGAGAACTTAATGATCGTGACTAATTTCTTCTTGTATTTCTTAGGCTGCACGGTAGTGCCATTTCTTCGCATTGTAGGTAAACCACGATGTCAAATGAAA